CCAAAACGAAACCTAAGCCCCATATCTACTTGAGCCACTCATGAAATGCTGACAGTTACCCTTCGGTAACATTCAGCAGTGGTATTCAAACTTTTTCCTCCACCAGGAATTCTTGCAGTTTTATAAAATCAGTTTGGAAGTAAGAAAAATGTGAACTTAGATGTGGCAAGGTATACAGCATCTTTGGGTCTTTCCTTATGTCCTGAAACTAATGGAGAAAACCCAAAGATTTTAAACAACAAGAATAAAAAATTCAGCTACTGTTATTATGCAGAAAACAATAATGACTAGAGTTTATTGAGTAATTACTATCTGTGAGGCACCATTCTTAGTATTTTACCTATATGCTCAGTGAATTCCTGTAACAACTCTGAAGGTGGCCCCATGATTATCCCCATTTTATATGTGAGAAAGCAAGCACAGAAAAAACAGTCTCCTTGTTTGAGATCATGTGGCTAAAACGGAAGCTGTCTGACTCCAGAGTTTAGGTTCTAGCTACAAGGATGAAGACGTTTGAGATTTGGGGTGAATTCAGTTGATGTTTTCTCTTTTTGCTGTCCTCAGCTGGTTGTTTAGCATGAGTTCTCTTTCCCTCCTCCCTCTTCCTTTTTTGGGAGTATAACACTGGGAGTTCGGGAGTTTGGGAGTATAATACTTCAAAAATACAGCATGAGTAAACCTCATTTCTCAGCTTATGAAATAAAATCTGGGTACGTTTGTTATTTTGTAGGGTAATGTAGCATGTTTATTAGAAGGTCGGTGTGGATAGGTAGGATTTCTTTTCCTTTCAAGCGCCAGTGCCAGGGCCTGGACATCTGTACAGATGGCTCCCAAGCATCCTGAGCTCACTACTCCAGTGTCTCCACAGCGTGGGAGGTGCATGGGGAACTCAGGGCCCCACAACTTCAGCCAAGGGAAGGTAGTGTGAGGGTGTGTAAGAAAAGCTTCAGGATGGAGTTGTGGGGAGGGGGATCTACTGAGAACCAGCCAGGGAGGGGCAAACAGCAGCCTTCTTTATCATTTACCCTGGCAGAGAAAAAGAATAAAGCAAGTTCCACCTTAAGACGCTGCTGTAGCAGAGAAGTCACTGTGTCACCGGAGTGGGGAACAGAGGATTGAGGGGGAAACACATGAGTTCACGTAGCAGTTTTCATATGGCACAAAACCTTGGAAACCAATCATTGACTTGTCTCAAATTATTTATGATAAATTCCTTTTATATGGAGCAAGTTTGGTTTCTCATTTGGTACTGTTGTCCTTCTTCAGACTTAAAAACTATGGTTTCTGAAAATACTATAAGCAAATTGAAATGAAATTCAACTAAGCACTGCTAGTGGAATAGTTGTAGCAGATTGCCTACCATTCTGATTTGTAACAGGACAATACTCAGCAGCCCCTGAGAAATTACTGTTTCAGAAATCAGACACAGATGTCAGTTCCAAAGGTGACCATCTGACAGTGTAGGAGGGACTGGCTTTTGTCCAAGAAACTTCAGATTACAGTTTACATCTGTTGACTAGTATTTTGAAGGATGTCTCATCCAAGCTATCTGGAGGGTAGAAGCCTGCTATTAACCAGAAGATCAGAGATCAGAACACCTTTTAGAGCTTTGTGAAATCCTTTATAAAGAGAAGTTAACATTCTTGCAAGAGAGGGTACAATTTCCTAGTTGCATTTTTGTTTTCATCAAAAAACACTGAAGTATTTACCTCCTGAAAGGCTTATGAAAGCCATTTTAAATTGATCATTACGATTATACACTTAACCTTGAGTAGACACTGGGGCCTGGAAAACATGAGAAAACAAATGCAGAGCAGCCCATGCCACTCTCTACCCCCCTCTTCAGTTTCTCCCTCCCCCTTGCCCACACATCCAGGGCCTCTCAAACGGCCTCGGAAGGGTCTCAGACTTGTTCACTTTCTGTTGGGTCACCATCATCCCTTCCTGAGCACTTCACATCCCTGATGGTTCTTCCTTTGGATCCAGTTTTCCTGTGTCACTTTCTCTTCTAAAACATGGCTCTAATTCTGTCACTTCTCATCTTAAAATTTTTCAAAACTTGGAGCTGTCTACAGAAGAACTCAACACTAGTGGCCCTGCAGCCAAATTCTGTCCACGGCTCTGTTTTATTTATTCAATACAGTATTTTCTGTTTTATTGAGCCAACATTTAAAACTCCAGAGACTTTTACATTAAAATCTGAAGTTTGGGCTTTTCCTCAAAAAGTGGAAGATCTGACAATCCTGAGCCTTGAATAACAACAATCAGCTGGAGATGGATAGTTGTTTCTTTAAGTCGGGGCACATCTCCGTATAATCCCATTTCATGCTGAGTATCAGTAGCCCCCGTAGCAGAACGTACAGGCTGACACCTGCCCTCTTGACTCATTTAAGGCATGTAAGGCCCCTGTGGGCAATTAGCCACCCTGGTCAGTTGGTTTACCAAATCCTGGCCACTGCCATTCCCTATCTTCCTTGTCTCTTAAGCTATAATCCAGCCATATTGGACTCCTTCCTGCTCTAATGCACTTCAGGTATCCACGTGTATCCAGAGATCTAGATGGAGACCTGTATCTCCTTATGCCTATAATTGCCATCTTGCCACTCTTAAGTTGAAACTTGGAGGACAGTTGTAGACCGTTCCCCACCTAAACCCTGGATGGCAAGTTCTTTGTAGGCATATTCCTGACACAAATGTCACTTGGGCTTTCCCTGAGGCCCTGTGGTCTTTTATTCCCTTTGCCTCTTGATACGTTGTTTCCGCTTCCTTTGTCACACTAGCTCCTGTTCCTACCAGTCTCCCATTGAAACTCCTGCTTATCCTCCAAAGCCCATTCCAAATATTACCACCTCTGTAACTTCTTTCCTAACACATTCAGACAGAATAAATTCTATGTGTTTCTGTGTTCTCTCAACATTTGGTAAATACACGTCTCCCCCCCCCCCACACCCCTCCTCTGCTGTTAGCACATTGTGTCACCAAGAATGTGAGATGTGAGCAGCTTGAGGGCAGGGACACCATAGCTTATGTATTTTTATAGCCCAACCATCTAGCACATTCAAAAAAGGTTTGTTGAATGAATATGATAAAATTAGACATATAGTCATTCTATACTAAACATTGGTTAACTTTTTAAGAGTGGCAGAAGGCTTCAGTACTCAGAAGTCGAGGATGTGGGAAGCACACGTTCATTTTCTGTTCTGATACATTCCCGGTGTTTTTCTGTAATACAACTCATCAATCCCTTGTTGCTAGTTTCCCACCATCCTCCCAATCTCACATACTCTTTTTTCTCCGCCAAACTCAACTAGATGTGATGTTTCTTATTTTATTTGCAGAGGACTGGTGTTTAAGTTTGGCCGCACTGAAGACTTATGGCAGTAAGAGCATCCAGTTTGCTTCTGCACAGCAGCCCCGTGTGGGTTTTTTACTACTCACTCCCAGTTTTTTGTAATGCCATTTTCTAAACTCATTTTTGAGTGTAGTCTTCAGCTTCAATTTGTGTAATAGTGAAATCATGAGAACTTCCTATGTAAACAACAGCAAAAATTTATTGTGTGTATTGGACTAACTTATAAAATGTTGAAAATACGCCACATGAGTAATTTTTATTAAGTTTTATCATGGTGTAATTTGTAAACATAAATTACAAAAAGAATTATGGATGCATCTTATACGAGCATTTGTCATAGCCAAGGTCCAAAACTACAAATTAAAGTGCTCTGAAGATTTAATGTGTCTAAATGTGGCCTCTTCTGTGTCAAATGTTAAATGAAATATAAACATTTTCTTGTTTTTAAATCTATGCAGTGGTCAGAATTCTTTCTTGCTATACGTTGTGTTTGGTCTGTCTGCAAACATTTCAGTGTTAGTAGCCATTGAGGGTGTCCCAAGGGGTGAGTGACCATGTTGGAAGAGAAAAGCTCCTGATTCAGCCACGAGGCTGCTCAACAGTGTCCCTTCGGTGCCCTTGATCGGGGCTGAGGCCTGACAGTCACTCAGCCCAGGCATGTGGTCGTGGTGGGATGCTGACAGTCACTCCCCGTCTACCATTGAAGGAAAGAGGAAAAAGATAGAGACTGGACACTAGTCTTTACTCAGGCGACAATTTTTTTTGTTGTTGATTTGACAATAAATTGAATTCCAAGTTTCCTTGTGTCTCTGTATTGAACCACTAACCTCAAAATAGACCAGCAAGGTCAGTTAAAGTTACAAACATTTACTACTGAGAACTCTCACAGTCTGTTCCTTTTGGAACCCTGCTTTCTCTCAGGCTCCCTCCCCTCTTGGCAAAATGGGAATCTTTTTTAAAATGAGCTAGTTAACTATGGGATACATGTTCTTTAGAAATGCAGCTTGAAATGTTTTCTTTCATAAAACTTGCTACAGTTAACCCTTCCTGAAACACAGAAGATCTCCTAGATGGTTTAAATTGTGGTGCTCTTGTCCACACCAGCCACGTGATCTTTCACCTTGTACATCTGGAATATCGCCTAGGCATCCAGACACACTCAGAGAAATGGCCACGTTGCTGCCATCCCGTAGCCAATCACCCATGGTGGGTTTTCAGAGAGTCCAAGGACATCTGAGAGGTTGAAGGTTGACCTCTTTTTACAGATGGGGGAACCCAGGCCATGGAACCATAAATGATTTTCTCAAGGTCACAGAATTAGTTTTGTAATCTTGAGACACTGTATTTCCACAACTGACCACATCTTTCCCTGCAGTCAAATTCAGAATATACCCAGGGTATAAGAACTACTTTGTGAAACTGCTGGAGTAGAAACACAATGTCCATATTATAGGACTAAATATAAGTGAATTCTTAATTTTTCCCTATTTAATATTCTGTGTTCTGCTGATATAGACAAGAGTTCACTGGGTGGCATAGCGTGCTTTGTTAAGCATGAGAAAGAATCTAAGAATTGTCAATAAAATTGAACCAATACCTTAACTGCATGTCTGCACCCAAGAAAATCCTGATAGCATCATCTTTAATGAAACCAAACATTTATTTTAAACTATTATGAGATTACCATTCAAATACATTTTTAATTTATTTTTTAATATCAAATTCATCTCTTTGACCTTGTTTCATTGTATATAAGGAGACTTGGCTGTAATGAGTGTCATCCACAAAAAAGGGGAGGCAACAGTGAAAAGAAGTTGTCTCATTTTCAGACAGGCCTTGTTTTTGTTGGATGGTTTTGCTTAAAATCCAGTAGCCAAATGAGGAAACTGAAAGCAAAGCAAACATTTTTATTACAGATGAACCCTTATAGTCTTAAAATTTACACACATATTGATTCTGGCTTAATCTCTGGAAACTGACATGTTGACAAAAATATGTCATCACAAAGGTCTTAGAGGGTCTTCCGCAAAATCTGAATAGGAAGAACTCTTAGATCTCATACCTTACAGCTCTTTACATGAGTCATTGGTAAATCGTGATCTGGCTTTGTTTGAATGTCCCCAGTGATAGAGGATGCACTACCATATGAAGTAATTCATTCCATTTTGCAGACAAGTTCAAATTGTTAGCAATTTATACAGCATTGTCCACTGGGCCTAGTTAAATTCTTTGGAGAAGCCTATAGGAAACAAATATTTGTCCTTTTCTACATGATAATCTTTGAAGTATCTGAAGATTGTTCTTAGATCTCCTTTGGGTCTTCTCTTCTGCAAGCTGAGCATCTCCTAAGTTCTTAGGGGGTGCCACGTCCCACCGTGCCATAAATCACTGCATCTAGTACCATGGGCCACAGAGTTGTAGAAGTGGAAATCAGAGTGACTAACACTTACGGGGTGTTTTTTGAGGATCCGTGTGCTATCATCTCACATACATCTCCCTTTAACCCTTAAAACAACCTGGTGAGATATTACTGTTCCTATCTCCACAGGGATGAGAACAATGGGGCTCTGACGATCACAGAACAAGGGGTGGTAGAACCCAGATCCGTCTGACTCCACAATGTGGAATTTGATCTCATTTTACAAATGAAGAAACTGAGCCCCAGAGAAGTAAAGTGACATCCCTGAAGGCACTGCCTTCCAGAACAAGGCTGTGTTCAGGGACCTCTCCAAGAGGGGAGGAGTCTGTTGACAGGCTCCTAATCTGTTTTCCTACTCTGCTTTAGAAACCTGCTCTCCTCATTTCTGTTGAACAAGCATTTGTTGGATCTTTACTGTGTGTCTGGAACATGTATCTGAAATCAGAAGCAGGGGTGATGCCAGTGTGGCGAAGCTAGCTCTTGAGAATTTTGCCTAACACAGCAGGAGGGACTCAACACATTCCGGGGTATTTATGTGCTAAAACAGTGGTGGGGTTTATGTTTCTTGGCAATAAAATCATTTTAAAAATAAACTGCAAATACTCGTTCAGAAGCCAATGGATGAACTTCAGCGTGTTGTGCTCATTTCAGAATCCATCCCACGAGCTCAGTCTTTACTCAGCTCTAAAAACCTTATCCTGTAATTTCCCCACTTAAACTTTCAGGAGCCTCCAAATGCCTGGAGGCTGAGTCAAGTGGCTCGTGCCTACCTTTCATCCTTCTCTTCGCCAACCATGCTGCTGAGCCATGCCTACCTTTCATCCTTCCCTTCGCCAGCCAGGCTGCTGAGCCAGGTTGCCTCCTGCTTCTCTGGTTTTTGCTCACAACCTGCCCCTTGCTTGGAATGTCTTTCACTTCCTGCCACTTAGCCAAGTCCAACACAACTCCCAAGTTCCACATTCCCTGACCTCCCCAAACTCATGGTCTTTCCCTTCTTTCATTTGTCCAGCAGCTGCTGCCAGATTACTCATTCAGTGCTTAACAGAGCTGTGCACAGAGAAAGATCCAGTCCTATATAGTGAAAGCCCTAGTTTCTCGGATCCCCCACACAGTACCCAGGACAGGGGCTTGTCTACAATAGACTCACCAAAAACCTATTTTCAGAAAGGTTAACTGTGGAATTAATTTTAATGAGTGCATGTCGGGGAGTCCTTGTGCTTTGGAAAGCATGAAATAAAATCCATGGGTTATTAAATTGAAATAAAAAGTTGAAGGAGGGAGTTTATGAAAAATTGTGTCAGGAACTGAATTTTTATAAATCAGTATCTGCAGAAGGCAGATATTTGTAATCTATTACAAATTTGTAATCAGATATTGTAATCTAAAGGAAGACAGAGCATTAGGGTATGTGGTTCCTTGAGAGCTAAAACTGCATTTCATTTAGATTTATCTCTCCAACTCTTTACACAAGAGCTCTGTCATATATTAGGTAAGTCATTAAATGGAATTAATTAGTGAATGAATGATTAATTAGTAATAGAATCATCCAAGGATGACAGGGGTACCTTTGGGGAGTGGTGAACTGCCAGGCATGGTTTGGGCAACAAGGGAAGGAATATCCTTTCCAATCCCCAGGTCTTTGGTTCTCTGAAATGCATTAGGACATTCGATAATGATTAAAATGTCTTTTCAGATGGTTTACCAAAAAAAGAAAAAAAAATTACCCCTGGATTTATCAGCTTTGGAAGTTTGAATTCTTGCCTCTTAATGGATATCCGGCTTTTCCAATGAAAGCTGTGTTCTACTGCTAAATAAATGTTCTGCTCAGCTGTGAAAGGATTAATCAGAATAGTGGGGGAAAGAGGGGAGAAGTAACTGTCCTCCAGGAGCAGCAGCTGTTTCTTTGGAGCCAAACAGATATCGGTTCAAATTCCTCCTTTTCCATTTACTAGCTTTGTCATTTTGGACACGTGACTCTTTTTTTTTATTTTTTAAAGACTCATTCATGTTAGAAAGAGAAAGAGTGTGGTGGGGAGAGGGGCACAAGGAGAGGGAGAGAGAGTCTTAACGCAGACTCAGTGCTGAGCCCAGAGCCAACGTGGGGCTTGATCTCACAACCCCAAGATCATGACGTGAGCCGAAACCAAGAATCAGATGCTTCACTGACTGTGCCACTCAGGCACCCCATTCTTCATCTTTAAGACAGGGATGCTTACTCTTGTGCAGGGTTATTGTAAGGATAAAATCAGATAATGCCAAAAAGCATCTAACACAAAATTGGAACCCATCGGATTACGATAGATGATAACTGTCATGCTTACGTATTCCTTCGTGGTTGGCTAAATTCCCAGTAATAAGCTTTCCTGTTCGTGTAGTGCTTTGCATTTTATAGTTTACAAAATGTAGTTACAGCCATTATTACCTCATTTGGTCTTTCAAACAACCCAGTGAGGTAGAACAAAGATTACCGTTATTTTACCAGTAAGAAAGGTCACGGTACTTGCCTCCATGAGACCTTGCAGAATGGGGACTGGAATTCACGTCTTCCCATTCTAGGTCCATACCCAGGGTTCCATTTCACCTGCTGCTGCAGTGCCCAGCGTTAGGCTAGGTTCCTCAAGTTCCCTTCATTTATTCAGCAAATATTTATTGCAACTCAAATAATTGAGCTGGATATTGGTCCCGTTTGTGGCATCCCTGGTTAATTAGCAGCATGCTTGGTAGAGAGGGGTTACTCAATAAATACTTGTGGAATGAACGGATGAATTAAACCAGTTCTCTGCGTCCTTTCACTAGATTTAACCCTGCTACCACCAAAGGGGCAAGCACGCTTGCAGGGACTGAGAGAGACTGGCTATAGGGAGATGCTGGTACAGGATGAGCCCGCTTATTAGCAACAACGTGGATGACTCTCAGAATAATTATGCTGAGTAAAAGAAGCCAGAAAAAGAATGTACTGTGTGATTCATTTATATAAAATTATAGAAAATGTAAATTAATCTATTGGACAGAAGGCAGTTCAGCAGTTGCTTGGGATGGAATAGGGTGGATAGGGAAGGATAGTTACAAAGAGGTGCAAGGAAACATGGTGGCAATGGACATGTTCATTATCTTGACTGATAAAAGACTGATATGATAGTTTCATGGGCATATAAATATGTTTAAATATATCAAATTGTATATTTTAAATATGTATGTCATAATCAGTTAGACCTCCGTAAAGCTCTTTGACATGAAAAGGAGGAAGCAGAGGAAAAAGAAGAGACAAAGGAAGAGACAGAGGAGAAGAAAGGGCAGGTTCTCTCTACAAACACTAATGCCAAGGCCCATAATGAGGCTGGTTCTCTGTCCCTCTAGTGATCAGTATCTAGGCATGCCAGGTGGAAAAAGGATTGGCTTGGGACGTGGGAGGTCTAGTTCCTGGTCTTATCTCTGCCGCTCACAAAGGGATGATGCTGGGCATTAGTCTGACCTCAGTCAGCCTCCACTTCCAATTTATAATTTTGCAATGTTTGCCCAGCCAACCTCAGCATCAAATGGGAGTTATGTAAGGTGACACATCAGAGTACTTGGTGAACCATGAGTGTTGGTTAAAGGGAGGTGTGCAGTGGGATGACACGGAACCTCTCAATAGAGCCTCTTTCTAGACTAGTCATGACAACAAATGCTACACAGGACACAGAGACCCTTGGCAGCAGCCGCGTTGTTCGAGCTCTCTGTCCTTTGGCTAAATGATCCTGGACTCCTACAGTACAAGTGGTCTTGTGTCCACTGGCTACTGAGTGTTAAGAGTTGTGTTCTAGATCCAGCTCTGCCGCACACTCGCTGAGAAAACACAGACGGTCATGGCTCCGGTCAATGCGTCTGTCGAATGAGATTGGACCTGCTGGCTCAGGCACTGCATGACTCGATGGCCTTTAGGGCAAACCACCTACCCACACTGATGACCCCAGATGGGGGAAGTAAGGCCAGTGGCCATTCTCACATCTCTGACCCTCAATGACTGAGGTGTCAGGGGAATGGTAACCTTTACCACTCCCCCAGCCCTCACCAACACACACACACACACACACACACACAATTTTATTTCTAGTTTGTTCTCACAAACACGAAGTCAACCTATATATAGATGTAACAGATATCTTTTTAAGTTCATTCACTCAGCATCAATGACATTACGTTCAAAATCTTACCTCCCAGAAAGCCTGGTCATCAAAATGTTTGGCTGCAGGAGGTGCCTTAAATATTTTGAGGCTTAAGACCAAACCTGTTAAAATTCAATATTGCATGTTAAATCTTTAGAGCACAGCATCTGTTACCTCAAAATTAATCAAAATATCATAGGCCAGCTATGGTTAGCTCAACAAAAATCCCTTCTTCTATAGCCAGAAGACGGACAAATTAAAGCGCTGGCCTTCCTGGACCAGCCTTATTAATTCTATAGACATCTCTTAAAAGAAAACTGGCGAGAGCAATTATCTCCAAAGGATTTAGATGATATTGAGAGATGTACAGTAGCTACCAATCTGACATGCTTCCCAAGTTGGAATATAAGAGCCCTGTCAGACAGCGCTCCCGCTGAAAAGCTGATGTGTACTTGACACAAGAGCTACCATGGACAGCAACTCCAATTCCACGTTCCTGTCAGTGCGGCGTTGCTGGCTCCTGTAAACTCTGTGACCTCCACTCAAGACGCCACTAGTGTAGTTGGGAAAGTAGTTTATAACAGCTTGCTTTTGTGCCTATTCTTCTTTTCACCCATCCAGCCTCTGCCCAGAGAGCTTGGCCCTGCGTATTCCTGCAGCGGTGCAAAGTTGGCCGAACTTCCCAGGATACACGAAGGGATTGCTCAACTTCTATATGAACCAGGGAAATGCCGTTGATAGATGTATCTGTGTATTTTTAATGGTGATCGGTCCCCAAGTATTAAGTAGTAAGATTAACAAGAGTAGGCGTGTACTTATTCACATTTTCCTCTTTTAATGTACACCTTTAACCAATATTGACATGTAGGGTGTAACCAGCACACCTCGTTTAGCTGGGATTATTCAGAAATAATCTCAAACACCTCCACAAACTTTCCAGATAGCAGAGGCTTACTCACCACTGATGAAAATGCATCCAAAATATATTTTCTTGTCTTATGACATAACACTAAACACATTTAGACTGTTGTTGTTTTTTTTTTAATCAGAACAATTGCTAGGAACGTCCATTTATGAAATGCGCTATCTAATGCAGAGGAAATATGTAGCTGTTGAGGGTGGTTGGTGTTTAGCAGCTCAAGCTTTCATGTTCTAGTGTCGGGCTTTAAGAATTTCTTTTCTTCTGTTAGGCTGTCTCCTTTCACCTCTCACTTCTCCCAATGGGCCTTACCTCTAGAAACCTGTCCCACTTCTAACCTGCCATTTCTAATCGGTCGCAGCTGGGAAACCCAATAACCATGCTTGGGGGGGATTGTTTCCTATGTCAGTGTAGACAGGTCCCAAATCGGAGGAACCTCCTGGCAAGCAAAATGCTCAGCTTTAGGGGGTCAACTTGATGCTATCTGGGCTGCCTGGTGGTCTCCTTTCCCCTTCCATTGTTCATGTTCTTTTTATTCACCAGTGTTCTTACATTCAAAGCCACATGTAAAGAGGAATGCTCATTGGGCTTAACTTTTTTTTTAAAGATTTTGATTTATTTATTTGACAGACAGAGATTACAGCAGGCCGAGAAGCAGGCAGAGAGAGAGGAAGGGAAGCAGGCTCCCCACTGAGCAGAAAGCCCAATGCGGGGCTCGATCCCAGGACCCTGGGATCATGACCCAAGCCGAAGGCAGAGGCTTTAATCCACTGAGCTACCCAGATGCTCCTGGTCTTAACTCTCAAAGAAACAATATTCTATTCTCTTTTTTAACTCCAGGCAAGCATAAAAAAATTAAAAAAAAAAAAAAAGACAAAAAAAAAATCCAAAACCCTCTGAGGGGTTTTACCAAACAGTGCAAGTCAGTTTCACTTTGTGAATACTAGTGACAATGGTGAATGGTGTCACAGTCCAGAGGAGGTGATAAAATATCCAGATAAAATACAGGATGCTCAGTTAATGTGGAACTTAAAAAATGGGCATCTTGTATTTTCACTTGCTAAATCTGGTCACCCTACTCAGGATTACAGTGCCACCATGAAGAGAATGTGAACTTATGGAGGGAGGTATTCGTCTCATCTGTATTTAATCAATCACCCTGACTGCAGAAAGTTGAGGCCAGTGGGTACATTAGAGCAATTCTAGTCAGTCTTGCTCTCTAAAGTCGCCCAGGCAATTCCAAAAAAGACCTTTCTACATGTTTTGGAGCAGAAAAGAAGCCATCATCCTTTCATTTTACAGAGAAGCCACCCAAGGCCCAGAGAGACTAAACTAATGTGCCCAGTGCCACACAACTCCTTTATGTCTGATTATGCTATTTTGTCTCTTCTTTTGTATTCATTCCCTCTTAGGGACACAGTATATGAGTGTCTAACCAATAAGGCTATTTGTTTGTAGAATAAAGGTGAGCACTTCTGGACAGAAATCACATTTTCTCCTAGCATATAAATAAGACTGGCAAATTAGTAACTCTCTAAGGATCTTTGCCATTCTGTCATATTGCAGGAGCAAAAGTATACTTCAATCCTCTGTTTAAAGATTTCCAGTGGTTTCCCATCTCTCAGAATGATCTGGCTCCTTGTTACCACTCTGTCCTCAAGCCCTGCCACTCTCCTTTTCACTCTATCCATATCCACCATACTAAGCATGCTTTGCTCCTGCCTCAGGGCCTTTGCACTTGCTCTTCCTTTTCAAGGAATGCTCTTCTGCCAAATAAACACATGGTATGTCTCCTTTCCTCTTTCCTTTTCAGGTTTCTGCTTAAAGGTCAACTTATTTAGATAGGTCTTCCCTTCCCAATCTTCTAAAAGAGCATCCCATGAAATGAAATGAAATGAAATGAAACTCTACCCTGAGTTATTTCTTTTTATAGCACTTACCATCTCTGACATAGTAAACATTCTACTTACCTGTTTATTTATTGTCCCCTCCCCCTCCACTAAAATATCAGCTCCATGAGATCAGGGAATGTGTTTTGTTCACTGTTGCGTCCCTAGTGCCTAAGAATAGTGCCCTGGCTCATAGTAGCTATTGAATAAATACTTGCTGAACAAAATAATAGTATGGGTATTCTCAGGGAATGAAGGTAAACTTTTTGGCATAAGGGTTTCCTTGGCTCACTGTACAAAATTGGGTGAAATCACCAGCCCTGGGCTCAAGAGGCTGCACTGTTGCCACTCCCTGCTACTTGTAAGCTCCAGAAAGCCTCTTACTTTCTCTGATCCTCAGAGTCCACACCTCCAGCAGGTAACCTCTGAGGGCCTTTCTAATTCTGAAATGATGTGATTCCGTTTTTGTTGTTAATCAAGGTCTGAGCCCCTTTGCATCATTTGGCTTGAGCTGCGGGGGTTCACCAGGGAAGGGGAGGGCACAGACACATGTGGCCATGGGCCAAATGCCCTCTGGCCTCAAGTCCTGTGCCCTGGGCCATGGGGTTAGAAGGGTGGTCTCATACTCACCTGTCAAAACCCCAGCTATCAGACCTGAAGCCATGGCCAAGCTGAGTGTCCCAGCACCAAAGAACAACTGGATGTCGATCCTAGAACTGACAAAGTAGGACGTGGTCACATTCAGGAATCAAGACTGCAGAGCTCATTGGGGTCAAGAAGGACTGTCTGCAACAGCAGTGACGCTGTCAGGAAGGGCTACCAGAAGAACAATTCCTCTCCCCAGGTAACACAGTTCCCTGTCGTGTTCCTGCAAAGCTCCACAGACATGAAGGAGGGAAAGAGCGGATTCCAAGATTCTCTTTGGCTGACTTCAATTCTCAGAAACAACAGATGATCAACCCGACCAGGAGGCAGAAAACCCAAGTTCAAGTCCAAGGACTGTCACTAGCTGCCGGATCCTGGGCAAGTCACCTAACCTCTCTGTTCCCTCATGAGGCAATTAAAGATGAAAGATGAAAGTTCTATTTCCATCAGGACAAGATGGAGCAGAGCATGGCTGTCAGGCTCACCTCCCCAGCCCACCCCTGTTGAACATACTTCCCTGTCCTCTCTCCTAGGCGATCCCAAGACCTCACTTTAAACTATGAAGTGGCCTGGGAGGACATCTACTTGACCTTGCAGTAGGCAAAGATTTCTTAAACAGGACCCACAAACTTGAGGGGAACAATGATGAATTGCACTGTGTTAAAATTAAGAACTTCTGTTCATCGAAAGATACTATTAAGAAGGTGAAATATAACCCACAAAATGGGAGAAGATATTCACAATACATTTATATGACACAGACTCTATATCCAGAATTCCTACAAATCTATATGAAAAAGGCAGAACACAAGAGAAAAATGGGCAAAAGAACCTGGACAGACATTTCACAATTCACAAGAGTTGTTCAAATGTCCAGAAAGCATATGAAAATTGTTGCACTTAATCGGTCATCAGAGAAATTAAAATTAAAGTGATGTTTGATGCCTAATTGGATAAACTTAAAATGAAGGAAAATATGGGGTTTGGAGAATATATGAGGGAAAGGGAACTCTTGGGTGCCAAGGGTGATTGGACTGGCACAAACTACAGTGGGAAATGGGTAATAGCCTCTAAAATGGATTATATGAATGCTGTGATCCAAAAATTCTGCTATTAGGCATTTACTCAACAGAAGAGCATTTGTATGTTCTAAAAAGAAGTGCTAGAATGTTCATAACAGAAATACTAGAATGTTCGTAATAGCTCCAAACTGGAAAGAACCCAAATGCTTGTCAGTAATGGATAAATTGTTTCGTATTCACACAATGGAACACTTACTTTAACTGTGTTTCGTAGATTCTGTATTTGTCTACATGGCACTCATTTATCAAAAGGCCCAACTAATGGCTGAAATTGTTTACTGCTGTCTCTCCAGCAAGTCAGATTTCCTGGGAGTGCAAAATTCATATTATAAACCCCCAACCACAAACTCTAACATATGCTCTCAGTTCCTGCCCAACAGGGGACTCCCCCATTCCCCCATTCCCCCACTGCCATCCACCTGAAGGCATAGTCTCAGTTCCCCTCTCTCTAGGCTGCCTGGTCCCTGGGTTGATAAGGTTTTGTGGGGCCCTATATGGTGTGCTGTGCCTCTCATTTCCAGGAGAACTGTAACATTAAACTTTTCCATCAATGACATTGACCTCTCCATGTCATCACTCAGTCACCCTTATGAAGTAAACCCAAGCACAATTCTACACTCTACCCCACTACCCCAATAAAAATGAACAATGTGGGAGAGTCTCACAACTACAGAATAGAGTCAAAGCCAGGCACACGACAGCCACAGACTTCCTTTAGGAGTCCATGAACATGAAGGACAAAAGCAGGCAAAACTGATGGATGGTGGTGGAAGTCAGGTTCATGGGTACCCTGGGATGGGACATGAAGGAGTTCTGGGGGCTGATTACCTGGGCGTGTCAGAAAATTTACCAAGTGGAGCCCTGATGATAGTTGTACTTCTCTGGCTGTAGATTATACTACAAAAATGTGTTGTTGTTGTTGTTGTTTTAAGTGACATTAAATGGTAGCATGGAAGCTGACCCTGAATCTGCTAACTGCCAACCTCCCAGTTCACTCTATCCTGATGTCACCTGAAAGCAGCAATGGATGGCACAGAGCCAGCCCTGCACCATGCCCTCTGCTCCCCGTGTTTACTATGTGATTTCACATGATGCTGGAGCAGCCCTCTGGGCAAGCTGTTGGTGTCCCTGATTCACAAATGGGGAGATCCAGCTTGGAAAAGTGAACCAGGGCCTCCAACGTCACATGGCTTGGCATGAGTGGCTCCTGGGACTCAAACCCTTTCTACCCACGAAGACCAGGCAGATCTCTCCCAAATTTTGGCATTTGTGGGTTACCTTCACATATTTGGCCATATTGACATTCCAAGGATACTATTTTTTTTTTAATTTCTTCGAGTGGACTTATTTTTACTTTTAAATAAATATCTTTAAAAGGAAACTTTGAGTCAATATGTTAGAGAAATGGGAGGTAACTATAAAAAGATGCAGTGCAAACAAAGTGTGGCTAAAGTCTCCCGCAGACGCAGCCTGAGTGCTTAGATCTCAGCTGAAGGCTGCCTCGGCGGCCGGCCAACCTGGCATTGGCACAAGCGCAAGGACACTTAGCACCTGAGTGCAGCCTTTCTCTCTGATGCAACCAAAAGACTGAATAATTAAAGCACAGTGTCTGGTCTGCATGATTCAAGGTTAGCTAAGTGTGTCTTTGCACCACTTAAATGCCACAGTTCGGGGGAAACCCCACCCCCTCCCAGCGCAAGCACAGCACGTGACCCGCTCCCATCTGCTTCCCTCATTGGAGCTCAACAAACACCCTGTAGGCGGAGTGAATGAAAAGCCAGACCCTTGGCTCAATGACGCCACGCCCATAAACAGTTGCTCCACGTGTCACACTGAGTGGTCTGACTCCCAGCTAGTCCTTTGTCTCTCTTTCCTGTAGAAACCACAGTAGCAAGAATCATCATGAAGATAAGAGGGTGTTCACTCCCTGCTGAATCCTCAGAGCAGCACCCACCCCCCCGACGCAGATCTTATCCTCCCATCATGTAGACCAAAACTGAAACTTGAGGAGTTTGAGTATACTGTGCCTAAGGTCACACGGCTGGTAAAGGGGACCACAGGTCCATCCCTCCCTGAAGCTTCTGCCCTTGACTTCCAGCTGACCAGAGGCCTCCCTAAGAGGTGTCATTTCTGTCGCTATGCCCTTCCCTTGTCTGGATTCCTGCGGAGGAGAGGGGACAACTACTTGGTCCTCCACAGTCCCATCCTGGCCCCTGTTCTCAACCCTTCCCAACTCCCAGTTCAGGGATAGTCCCTGGATGGCCTGCACTTGGCCACTATCTGCAATGGGGGCTTTGTCTTCCTGGAGAGTAGTTTGTTAGTCCTTGTAAGCAGCACACCTTTGGTTGGCTGGCCTTTGTTTTTATTTTGTTCTTTGTTTGTTGTTTGCTCTAGGCTAGTAGTCTCAAACTAGTTTGTAGGAGAATCCCATAGAGGGCTGGTTGACCCACAGGTTGCTGGGTCCACACCACTAGGTTTCTAACAGTGCAGGTCTAGTTAGGGTAGGATTTGCATTTCTAGCAAGTTCTAGGTGATGTTAGTGCTGTGGAGAACCACCGCCCTAGGAGAGCCACAGAAGCACAGAACTGGGGAGCTAGAAGGATTGGTGGTTCAGAAGGCACAGGTTGGCTGCCCATGAGCAGAATTTGACCCACAGGATGTTTCTAATGATTCTGAATCTCCTGCCAGTGCTTGGGAGCGCAAGTGCGTAACTCTGGATTTCTGGCTTCTCTTAAAAAGTCATTAGATCTGGGGACACTGAGCCTGGGTCCTGGCACAGTCATGGCTACCTGGTGCTGACTGATTTCAGACCAGTCACCCATGACTTCCCAGCCTCTTCTCACTGCTCTCATTTTGTAACCTTACCTGCCTGGCCCCTGCAAGCACCTGAGCTTTACAGAGAAGGATCTGGGGGCTCCGAGAGAGGAAAGGATTTGCTGATTTGCACAGCTATGAAAACAGTGGCAGAAACACCATTGGAACCCATCACGGAGGCGTCTTGCTTCACATAGACCATCTTCTCCCCACCTGGAGGTGGGATCCCTCTTACCCCAAGCAGTTCAAGGAATGATGTCTCCCATGCCGTATGTGATTCCTATAATGTGGGGCTGTGGCCATCTCTGCTGTCAGAGCTACAAGGGACCCAGCCCTCCATGATTGCTCCGAGACGCCTCCAAACACAGTGAGCTCCTCACCACCAAACTCTGGTGCTCATCACCCGGACAGCCATGTTCCAGCCAAGGGACTTAGGACAGGTAACTCCCCACATGTACCATCTCTTAGAGTATGGTAATAATACCTCTCAGGGTGGTGGCGAGGATTAAATGAAATGATGCGTGTGGCGCATTTAGCCTAGGGCCTAGCACCTAGAAAGCAGCCAATAAACAGTGGTGATTATTACCAGTACTATTATTATTGTTATCACTGTAACAGGTCATCTGGAAAAATCCATCCCTGTATCATGCTCAAGTCACTCTTTCATTTTATGTGAGCCACACCTGGAAGATATTCACACAACCTCTGGGAGGTGATGGCCGGGGCTAAGGTATATCAAACCAGTCACTGGAGTCCACTCTCTGGAGGACACAGGATCTGATCCTAGTCCCGAGGCCCACATTCCTGCCTCACAACGAGACCTTCGCCAAGCTCCTTCTCTCTCTGGGCCTCAAAGATGGTCTGTGCTTAGCATTCGTCTACATTGAAGTATTAAATACTTTTAACCACAAGGGGCCTGGCCTCAAGCAGCCTCCAACTACCCTATGAGGGGAGGCCCTGTTATGACCTGCGTTCACACCAGGCCATGCGGCTCACAGAGGTTAGGTAGCACGCCCAGCTAGCAAGAGGTCAAGATGAGTCTGACTCCATGACATGCTCTTCACCATGACCTAAATAAACCACCGGGGGTTAAACCACAGACCCAGCTGGCTTGGGCCCCATCAACTTGCTCTGTCTGCGTTTGAGGGGCAGGACTCACAACTGTCTGCCTTTGACCAGCACCCAAGCTGTCCTCTTTGGAAAGAAGACATGGCCTGGAGAGGCAGAGGCTAGGCAGAACGTATCGCTAAACGTGCCGAGAAATATTTGCCGAGGCCTGCTGAGTGCCTGGCTCCGAACGCAAGCATGGCTTGGGGCACATTTCTTCCTGAGCTGGATTGCGTATGAAGGGGATAAACCAAGTCACCTACATGGACTTCGTGGTCCAGTTGACCTCATAGATGATCAGCAGAATGTAGGTGATCCCGCCGAGCAGACCTGGCAAGCCAAAGGTGTAGTGCACGCCACAGGTGTCGTGGGTCCCCAGCACCTGGTTAAAATATCCCTGGAACAAACATCCAATAAGCAGCTGTACATGGAAGAATGATAGCCCCTCTCCAGCCTTTCCACGGATCCTTGGCCTCCACGGCCACCCACGGGGGTCAGGCTTTGGGGATCCCCTCCAGCATGGCTCCTCAGACCTGAATGTGCACTTGCACCACGTGGGGAGCGTGTGAAACTGCAGGGTCAGGTTTAGTGGGCCTGGGGCCCGAGATTCTGCATTTCTCACAAAGTTCCAGGTGATGCCAATGCTGCTGGCCCCCTGACCACACCTGTGTCTAGCCCGGGCCCTACTCACACGCGGGGCTGATACTTCTGTGTTGTGAAAAGGCTGTAGGATGTTCAGCAGCACGCCTGGGCCCTACTCTCAATATGCCAGGAGCAGCCCCCGCACCGTGTGTTAACCAAAATGTGTCTGCAGATATTGTCAAATGTCCCCGGAGGGTGACTGAGACCCGCTGGTCCAGCCTAAACGTAACTGCCATCCCAAAGACACCATGGCTAACGAGAAGAAAAGAATCTGACCCCGCTCTGGACTCACCTTCAGCACCCTTTCCCTTCACCACTTAGCCTCCCTGGGGGACCATGAGCCAACATATTTGGATACGAATGCAAATAGGACATGTGAGTTTCCCCCTTGGTGTCCCCCACTGTCTTCAGAATAAACACCCAGACTCCTCATGCTGCCCAGGAGCCACACCTGAGTATCTCCCAGCTTTCAGGACTGTGGTCCCACCACACTCCCAGGTGAGCCCAGTGCTGCAGCATCTGTTTCCTGCCTGGGCATTCTGTTCTTCTCACCACTGAGCCTTGGAACACACTGCTCCTTCCGTCTGGGATACATTTCCCTTTACTTTGCCTGCCTGATATCAGTCATCTGTCAACACTCGGCTGAGACAGCCTCTGCTCCAGGAAGCATTTCCTGATCCAACTCAGGCTGGCTTAGATGAGCTGTGTTATGTTTATTGGTCTGTTGCCCTCACTACACCATAGCTTGGGAAGCACGATACGTGTTAAAACATCCGTGAATGAATGAATGAAGGGACAGATGAATTAATGAGTGAATCATCTCTGAACCGTTCCCCCAGTGATGGAGTCAAGGAAACAGGCACAAAGAAAGCAATGGACATCCAGCCTGATGAGAATTTATGCAGGTTTCCCTGCACACTTCCGCCTTTCACCATAGGGTCTCAAAGCAAAGGAGATAAGAAACATTCATTGCAATTCCAAAGATGAAAAGCAGACTGCCCCATCACTGGTCAGATGAGACTGTTAGTACAGTTTCCCCTATTCTGGATTGCAATTGCCTCCTTGAATACCCATTATTCATCCAAATTCAGTTTCTTGAGCCATCCAAAAGTCTCCTCCTTTCTCTTCTACCAAGGCTTCAAACAAAGAGTTGCTGCTCTGAAATTATTTCTCTTCTAAGTGTTTTATAACAAATTGGTTATTGTGGGGTATGCTGGTATTATCAGTACTTGCTGGATGTTGAAGGAGGAAAAGTCCATCCACTCAGAAGAACCAAACAATCAGAAGTGGGCATGACCTCGGTTAGCCCAGCATCCCTTTCTGGCTGCTGCCCCTCCCACCCTCATTCACGTGGCTCATGGACAGCAGCCATATATGTACATTATGTCCCGTCCCCAACACTCCCAGCCAAAGATAAACACCCTGTCCAAACTAAACCCATGAGTCCCTTCTCCAGAACACTTGGGAATGGAGCCAAGAAATTCCATCTAACTGCTCTCCTAAAGAGCAAGACTACATTCCACCATGTAGAGCATGAGGAGAAGGGGAAGGAAGTCTACAGAATGGGAATAAAGCAGATACTCAGGAAAAGCAAAGAAAGAAGAGCAGGGACGGCTTGGGCTCCCCACACATTCCTGTCCCTGGTGTCAACCATTCCTGGGTTCCCAGCAGCATCCCTGTCCTTGGGTTCTGTCACACCCCAGCAGCCTTATAATATTCCCGCCTGTGCCTGAGCAAAGTTGAACAGGTTCTGCTCCTTGCTCCCAAGATCCTAACAAATACACAGTATGGCCTGGGAGGGGGGCCCCTCACCCAATCTCCGAAACCTGCCTGAGAAGGTGCCAATGCCGGCCTACTGCAGCGCGTGGCACCACATGACGGCCCACCATGCTCCCAGGGCCCTGCAGGTCTAAGCCAAATCAGGTATCAGATGCCCAGCTCCTTACCGGCAGGCACAGGGCTCCCCCGATGGAGATCAGTCCAGCCATAAAGCCCAGCACCATGGCAAGCCAAGGCGAAGCGATCAGATGACATGAGGCGCCCACAGCCACACCTCCAGCCAGTACCGCATTGTGGATATGAGTCTGCAGAGAAACACCTTGTGGGCAAATGAAGCGAGGTCCAGAGAGGACAGCATCTTTTTTTTTTATTCTTTTGTTTTTTAAGATTTTATTTATTTATTTGATAGAGATCACAAGTAGGCAGAGAGGCAGGCAGAGAGAGAAGAGGAAGCAGGCTCCCCGCTAAGCAGAGAGCCCGATGCGGGGCTCAATCCCAGAACCCTGGGATCATGACCCGAGCTGAAGGCAGAGGCTTTAACTCACTGAGCCACCCAGGAGCCCCGAGAGGACAGCATCTTGCCCAGGGTCACTCCGTAAGCTGGTAACCAGCGACACTGTGATGTCTTCCCTCCTTCACTTACCCTGAAACCATCCCCTCCTCTCTGCTGAGACCACATGACCTTCATCAGTGGTCTTATCTTATGCCACTTCTCAGGCTCAGGGAGCAGTCACCCTGATGAGGAGGCATTGAACTTGAAAGTGTATCCTAGCCACCCTCACACCTGTTAGCGATGTGTCCTTGGGCATTGAGCCATTCATGCTTCAACTTTTCCACTAGAAGAACAGGGTTTTGATTGTACCTGCTTAATATCACTATTGTAAGACTCAATGAGTTACCACATGGAAGACTCTGGCTCAAGGGCTCAAGAAATATAAGCCAGGGCACCTGGGTGGCTCAGAGGGGTAAAACCTCTGCCTTCCGCTTGGGTCATGATCCCAGGGTCCTGGGATCGAACCCCACATCGGGCTCTCTGCTCAGCGGGGAGCCTGCTCCCCACCCCACGCCTGCCTCTCTGCCTACTTGTGATCTCTGTCAAATAAATAAATAAAATCTTTTAAAAAAATAAATATAAACCATTATTATTATTTTTATTATTTTTATCATTGTTATTGACTATTTGGTGCTTATGCCCCCCTGTCCTACTACCCAGCTTTAACCAGCTAGCTCTTGTTCCTGGGTCACATCTCCACTGTGTCCTTTTTTCCTCCAGAACTGGGGCCTTGCTTTGCTCTCATGCTACTTCCCTCTGCCCTCTCAACTCCAACCAGGTCTGGGCTCTGGGGCCTGGGACCAGCTTCTGGGCTTCCCTGACCTTCGGGCCACACCTGCCTCCATAGAAGTCCCCACCTTTTCTGATCCGACTCCCTGCCACCATGGAGCTCCCCCAGAAAGACACCCACTCCCCCTAGTGCTTAACCTGTCGCTCATGGCCATGTTCTGTCCACTCTCAGCCCTGTTGTCTCTCTAGACTTTTCCCTACCACCTCTGGCTGGCTGGCCTCATAGCTGATCATCATGGAAACTTCTTTCATCTTTAGCTCTATCCTTTCACCCATCTCTCTCGCTCTCCCCGAAACTCACACAGTCTCCTGGCTACATTGATAACATGGCTAATGTTTGCTCAGCGCTATATCCCTCATAGAGCATGTCATGTGCGTTGTCTCTTAATTCCCACTTTACACATGAGCTAGTTGCGGCTCCCAAAGTTTAAGGCACTTGACCAGGGTCACACAGCTAGGGTGATAACATCCTTCTTTACCTCCAATTCTATTCATCCCATTCTTGAAATTTCTTAGGGGAAGGAGAGAGCCTGACTGACTCTATTCTAGCTTTTCTCTGCTGACTCTTGCTCATGGTGGCTGGTAACCAGCAGAAACAGGGTTCAAACATGGGTCTGTTTGGTGTCAACACTGATAGACTTAATCACTTCCCTCAGAGAGCCTTGGATCATTTCCTAGTCTCCAAATTCCAGTTCCCATTTTGATAAGCCAGTGCCCTTTCTGATACCCCAAGACACTGCAGAAAAAGCTCTGTCACCCACAGTAATGTTTCCCACCCTGCAGGGCTGGTTCTGGGACAGGGGGCATGGATATTTGTCCAGCCTAGAAGACCTGAGTGTTGCCCGAGGGGCAGGGCCATCCTCACCATGTTGATCTTCCTTTGGGAGTGAGCCAAGACTGACACAGAGATGGCTGTCACCGTGCTGGCCGCGAGAGCATAGTAGGTGCTGAACACGGCATTCTTCCTTTCTATTGGAGAATCCAACAGAGCAGAGTTGAAACTCGGCCAGAATATCCACAAGAAGAGGGTTCCTGGGGGTCAGAGAGGGTCATTGGCCACAGCCAGCACTGCTACCCCAAACCCTGAGCCTACAGGGGCTTCCTAGAACAGGCAAGTCTCGGCTTTGTCCCTTTTTAGCTCTGTGACTTTTGGGGCAAATCATGTCTCCTCTGAATTCCCAAGTTGATAGGGCCCAGCTAACATATTTTACAGGCAAAACCACGAAGGCCCAGAGAGTTGAAATCATCAACCCCTAGGCCTCCCGAGCCCAGCCTATGATGGCCAAATGCTTATTCTGAAAACGTGATGTGCCACTTTGATTTGGTCTCATGGCTGGTTGTTGGGTCACCTACAGTCCAGCTCACTGCCCGATTTCCTCTTGGCCTCTCCCACAGTCTAGCTTCTGCCTTTCTGCTCTGCCTGATAACGCCTATACTACTGTTCTCTTCCCCGTGCTGTCCCTCTCTCCACAGCTGGCCTCTGCTTTCTCCAGTCGTCCAGTTCCCTCCCTTCACATGAAGACAAAAAGATGAAATTGATTTAAACTCAAGGGTAAGGAGTGGCCCATCTCCTGTGGATATTAGTGAAGAGCCTTGCCCTAGAAGGGATTGTAAATCCATCCAACACTACTTGGGGAGCTAAGTCATCACGGAGTGGCTCCAAGCACCCCAGGCAGGTTGGTAAAGAGGAAGATTTTCCCACAGAGCCACTGGAGAGCCTCCCACTCACTCCCCGGGTGGGACCCCCCCACCACCACCCCCCCACAACCCCAACTTGTCCTCACCCAGCATGGTAAACAAACTGGACCTCTTTTCTGTCTGAGTCTTCTCCTTCTCCACTCTCTCATTCAGAGACCTCGAGAGAAACCAGGCTACCATCAGCCCAAAATAGGTCGCAAACACGTGGATGTGCATCATGCTTACGTGGGCGTCCACCTGCAACAAAGCCAGCAGGGCGGTGAGCGCCAGCAGCCTTCGCGCATGCGCCAACCGCCTGTACCTTGGAGACAATTCGGAGCTTCACCTAAGCTCAGGAGGTGTGTCTTGGAATCATGGCACTGGTGTTTGGAGCTTCCCCTGCCTAGCAGTTCCCTTTCCAGAGGGGACCTAGGAGCAGCCATGTATTTATTCCAGAGAAGTTGCTGGTTGGCCTTATCGGTAGCTATTCACCGTTTTTGGCTGAGATCTATTTAGGGGAGACAAAAAGTCACACGGATGTGCACCCCCACTGCTTCCTACCTTTCAGCAGAAATTATGGAGCGATGAGGGATATAAACGTGGTGGCAGGAAGCAGCCAGACTTGTTATAATACCAAATTTGCGCCTTTAGTAAATTCTTGACATAGGCTAATTTTGCTTTATGAATATCAAAGTTAGTACCAAATAACAACTTATTGGACTATTAGCAAGTCCTGTCAACTCTGCCTTCAAAAGATATCCAGAATTGGCAGAATTGTTACCATCAGGTTTCACTGACCCCACCTTGATTTAAGCCCCACCATCACTACCCCCAAATTATTGCAGTAACCTTCTAACTGGTCTCCCCATTTCCACCCTTGTCCCTGTACAACTACTTTCCACACAGTAACCAGAGTGACCCTACCAACATCTATGTCAGTTCACGGCCATCTCTGCTCAGAATTTTCCAATGGTTCCTCTCTCGCTCAATTCAAAGTCTGTGTTCTGGCTATGACCGGTAAACCCTGTGTGACCTGCTATCCCCTAACCTCCCTGACTTCATTTCCTGCTCCACTCCTGACACACACTCCTCGCTCTTTCTCAAACCCATCGGCATGCTCCCACATCAGTCTCACTTCACTTTGGCCTTTCCAATGCCTGGAATGCAAGGTGGAGGTGTGGCCCACCAGGGGTGCAGGCAGTAAGGATATGCATTGTCTGGAGAGAATTTAAAGCAATAATAAAAGCTATTAGAAGTCTGTCTGCTTTTTATTATCACCACGCGCCAACAATTCTAAGCAGTGTGGGTGATAAAATACTCCTGGAAGAGGCAGGCCATTCCCACCCCGCTGCCCTTGACCTGCCACTGTGCTCAGACAACCACTTGGCTTGTGCACTCTTTGCCTTCATGTCTCAACTCAAAATTATTTACTAGGGGAAGCCTTCCTTGGCCACCTTATCTAACATTTTACCCCCCCCCCCAACTCTTCTTAGTCCCTTTCTCATTTTATTTTTTCCCTATGATACTTATCACTATCTAACATGTGATTGCTTATTGGCAAGCTTTCCCTCTGGAATGGAAGGTCCATCACTGTTGGATTTTTCCACTGCAGAAAAGATGCCCGGTACATAATAGGCACGGGATAAATACCTGTGAAAGGAATGAATGAATGGGAAGGATACATTCACACATTTCAGGCATACATGAAAATGAAGTTGCCTGTAGTCTTGCATTTTTCATGTTCGAGGTCCCCTCCCGGAATCCAGGAAACACACGTGGGGACGATTGACGTGGAGCCCTGAACTCATTTCTGGAGTTGCCACCACTGAAAGAGCTCTGACTGCTGTCTACTGTTGCCCCCCGAGCCTTTCCACTCAATAAACCCCGGCTGAACTGACGTCTTGAAGTGAAGCAGCCAACCCTCAAAATCAGGGTTGAACGCTCCCCTGCACCAACTAAACTAGAAAGTCAAAGCCGCAAAGAGAGGAGATAGATGGCTTTGCATCACTGCGGCCTTTTAAAGTAGGAAAACGTTTACCATGCACAGCCTGCAGCGACAGGTTCAACTCTGGGAATTTACCTCTTGCCACGTGTTCACCGCATGACCCCTCCCCCACGCTTGCTGCAGCTGATTGGACCAAAGCAGACACGTGGCGGCGTGAGCCAATCAGGTTCTTTCTTACTGGACCGTAGAACTGGGACCAGCTGATAGGGAAGAGCGTTGTTTCCCGCAGGATCTGGGAGTTAGAATCCCAGAAACGAAAGGGATGGGAGAGAACATGTTCTCCACTGAAGAGAATGCTGATGTGCACAGAAGTTAGATATAGGGAGAGGAATAGAACAAAAGATGGAGAGCTTGAACTACCTGGGATTTTAAAGACTTCTCATAAGCAATTCCAGTCCTGAGTCTGGCTGCGATTGCTGGCTGCTATTCCTGCCCGCTCTCTGCCTAAAAAAAGCTGCAGTGCAGTTTTCTTCCTTGAAACCAAGGAGTTGCAGTTAGCCCTTATGGTAAGCAGAGAGAAAAAGCAAAAAATGAAAGTATGTCTGGGTGACTCCGTGAGCCCATAGTGAAATGAATGAATGAAGGAATGAATGAAAGAATTAGTGCATGCATGCCTGAATGGAGAAGAAAAGTAAGTTCTTTCTTACAGCGGAATGCTAACTAATGGTTGTGGAGGGGAAGATGGAATTAGAAAACCTGGTTGGTTTTCTGCGCCTGGTTGGCTCAGTCCCTAGAGCATGCGACTATTGTTCTGGTAGTTGTAGGTTTGAGCCCTATGTTGGTTGTAGAGACTAATTAAAAATAACATCTTTTTCTTTCTTTTTTTTTTTTTTTTTAAAGATTTTCTTTCTTTGTTTGAGAGAGAGAGAGAGAGCATGAGCAGGGGGAGGGACGGAGAAAGAGGGAAAAGCTGACTCCCTGCTTAGTTGGGAGCCCAATGTGGGGATTTTTCCCGGGCACCCTGAGATCATGATTGAGCCAAAGTCAGATGCCTAACCAACTGAGCCACCCAGGTACCCCCCACCACCACCACCAAAAAAAAGAAAGAAAACCAATATTGACAATCATCTAATTGATTCAGGCAAAAAAACAAAAAACAACAGATGCTAAAGTCAGTGGGTGAAAGTTTGATAAGAAACAGGATTTGACAGACAATTGTCTCCCTCACACAATGCTTATTAATTACAAAGGGGAAAATAGTAACTTTACAATGGAAAAGCCTGGACATCTTAACAGGTGACCAGAATTAACATCCTCAGTAATGGGCCCAATGGACAACATGTGTCTCTTGATACATGCACTGAGAAGGACACAACATCACTTCTTCTGTGTAATTCCTGCCAAAAAATGCACACCTTCCAACTAATCATGAGGAAACAGTAGACAAACCCACATCCTACAAAATAACTGGCTTGTAACCTCAAAACACATCAAGTTCATGAAATATCAAGAAAAACAAAGAAACTTCCAGATTTAAAAAGTTTAAGGAGGCATGAGAACTGAATGCAAAGTGTGATGGACCAAAAAGATATATATATATATATACACATATGTGTGTGTATGTATATATATATATATATACATATGTGTATATATATATTGCTGTAAGAGGATATTATTGGGAAAATTGGTGAAATTTGAATAAGGTAATAATATTATGTCAATATTAATTTCCAAGGTTTGTTAATTAAATGATGATTATGTAAAAGAATGCCCTTGGTTTTGTTTTTTTTTTAAGGTTTTATTTAATCATTTGACAGAGAGAGAGGGAGAGAGAGCACAAGCAGGGGGAACGGCAGACAAAGGGAGAGGGAGAAGCAGGCTCCCCGCTGAGCAGGAATTCCCTACATGGAGCTCAATCCCAGGACCCCAGGATCATGACCCAAGTGGAATGCAGATGCCTCACCAACTGAATGACCCAGGTGCTCCAAGAATGCCCTTGTTTATAGGAAATATACACTGAAGTAGTTAGGGGTTAAAATAAAGTCATATAGACAGATGAAAAGAACCAAAAATTAGTAAATTATAAGAACTTCAAATCTAAGCTTCTAGACCATTGTTCCTTTTTTTAAAAAGATTTGACAGAGAGACATTTATTTATTTGACAGAGAGACAGTGAGAGAGGGTACACAAGCCAGAGGAGAGAGAGAAAGGGGAGAAGCAGGCTTCCCGCTGAGCAGGGAGCCTGATGCAGGGCTCAATCCCAGGATCCTGGGATCATGACCTGAGCCGAAGGCAAATGTTTAACGACTGAGCCACCCAGGCGCCCCTAGACCATTGTTCCTTTTCCCTCCCCAAATATCTCCAGCACCCTTGAAGGATGCACTGGCAGACTACACTCCTTGCTGATTATCCACCTGCCTCTTGGTCTCTAAGGATTTCAGCACCTGCCTTACCATCTTTCTCTCCATCACTCCTCCAGGTCATCATCTTGATCCATCCAACTCTCTCTCTCTGTTCCTTGACCCTGTCTCTTCTAATAACTTGCCAGCATTAGACTTCTGCCACCCATATGCCCTGTCAAACCTTAGACCTTGTCATCACGAGTGACTGCACCACCACCAGTTAAAACCATTAGGTTGCTATATTTAAACACTTAGCATAGATCACAATTTTGGAACCCCATCTGGGTCTGTCTTCATAATTTTTAAATCCCAGAAACTCCACCAAATGGAGGTAGTACCCACACCCATCCACTTCCACACCCCTCCTCCCCAAAGTCCCCTCCTCACAGCACCGTGACTCACATTGAGGTAGTGCCTGTCAATCATCATCATAGTGACAAAGACTGTCACCTCCACCAGTGCCATCAATGTCAGCTGCAACAGGTTGGTCTTCCCCAGCACGGCACCCACTGAGATGAGCACAGACATAGCACTCATGGTGGCTAGCTTAATTCTGGGGGAGAGAGAGACAGGAATGACCGAAAAGGATCCTCTCATTCATTATTCATTCATTCACTCATTCAACAACCCTGGCACTGTCTAAAAAACTAGGGACACGGTAGGAGAAGAAGGAGACAAGATTCCACCCTCATGGGAACTGATGCTGCCCCATCTGGGGTCTCCATGGGCTTCTTCCCCCATCAGGGTGGCATCAGGGCGAGAAATTGATCTTCACATACTCATTCACACTGAGGCCATTCTGAATTTCTCGTAGGAATATCATGGTCACTTACAGAGGCTGATTGTACCCTCAAGACCCCCTTCTAGTGTCTGACAACTGGGGTTCTGCCCACGGCTTCTCTTCTGTCTGCATCTCACAAAGATGCTCAATAGAGGGCGCTCTTCACCTGCTGGCCTGCCAGACATTCAGCCACCCGCCTCGGTCTCCTTGGTCATGGAAAGAGACAGTTTAGAAGTAGGACAAGCCTGCTTCCAGTCCCAGCTTTTTCACTTGAGCAACTATTTAATCTCACTGAGCCTGTTTCTTCATCTGTAAAATAGGAGTGATGATAATATTTATCTCATGGTAGTGCTGTGGGGATTAGAAGGAATATCTGTGCTTGTGTGTCCAGCTCTGTGATTGGCACAAAGAACTAATTCAGGAGTAGAAGCCCACATTATTACCACTACTGCTGATTCCTTCCTTCCCTTGACAAATGAGCTAGCTCAGTATGGGGATTTAGGAGAAAACAGTTCGTTTTCAAGGCACTTATGATCCAGCTGTGGAGATGGGGCTGACATTGTGAGTCTGTCTGCTAAGACTATCCATGATATTACATGGCTAGAGGGGTTCCGTGGAGGGAGAGAGCAGTGTGTACTGGACTCATCAGGGAGGGCTTCCTGGGGGAGGTGGCGATGAGCAGAATAATCTTGGTGGTTAAACCAACCCACTCTCTCCAGGCACCTTGCTCTGAGACCAACTCCCCTCCCTGATGCTACAACCACCACTACAAAATAATGATAATTTGTTCAGCATTATGTATAACAGACTTACAACTACACCACCTCATTTAAGTTTTAATCTTCTAAGTGGCCCTCTAGAAATGGAGGGTACCGTTCAGTACCTCTACATTACAGAAAAGGACACTGAGACTAGAAGAGGCAACTCTTTTGGCCTTAACATTAGCTAATGACAAATGTGAGGTCCAAACCCAGTCAGCCTGGATCTAAAGCTTGTGTTCTGGAGTCTGGACACAGCCTCCCCAGCATTTGCTGCCAACGTAGTACCTTGCTTAAGGCCCAAGGACTTCAGAGGGACAATCAGCAGAGGGCCAAGGGCCTGGAGAAAGAGTCTCTTAGGGATCGGGAGTTATTTAGAACAGGAGTTAGACAAAATTTCATTGGGACTGGCCACGTTATGTCTTTTGGTGAGTGTTCACTTAATTGGCAAGGGTCTAATTCAAGAGATGCGTGCTGTGGTAGGATGTCAGACCCTAGGGGCCGGTCGGCGCTGGGGAGTTGTTGAGACTGTGAAGTGCAGTGTTCAGGAGTGCAGTCTCCAATCCAGCCAGCCTAGGTTGGACACCCTTCCTGGCTGTGTGATCTTGGGCAAATTACTGAACCACTCTGTGCCTCAGTATCCTCATTTGTAAGGTGGAGGCCAGGCCTGTGAAGCTGTCATAAGGGTAAAGTGAGTTAATATGTGTCAGGCACAGTAAGAGGGTTGCTTATGGCTACTTATCCTCCAAGGGAGCCCTCCTGAACCTCTCAAAATACAGTGTTAAAAATATCACAACTTTCAGGGTTCCTTTTATTTTCATTTTGGTTCCAATAACCATTTAGGAAGTCATTACTGCAGGAGGCAAATGAAGGACAAAGCTGAGCAGGACAGGCCCCTGCCCCAAAGGGACTGGTCATCAGTGACTCAAGGCAATTCCGTGCCAAGTCAGGCAGCACAGTGTGGGTGAGGCCAAGGGAGAAGGGGAGGACCCTGTCGGGAGGCAGGCCTGGGCACCGCCCCCTGAACCAGCCAGGTCCTTGGAAAGGTCAGGAAGGAGCTCATTGTTCAAATCTGAGAAGCCAGTCCCAGTGGGGGTCACAGCTGGGAGGATCCAGGCTGTCAAGGGTGGGGCAGGGGAGCTCACTCAGGCTGCCAATGGCCTCTTCTTGTCTTCCTGGACTGAGTCAAAAACAAGTTGGCTGCTGTGGGCGAGGTACCTTAGAAGGAACAGCCCAGTTAGGCCTGCACATTAAGGGGCAAGAGGCTGAAGGTTTGTGAGACATTAAGCCAAGGCAGCAGAAAGGCCGGACCGGGGCCACCACTGTCAGAATTCTTTCAGACAGTAACCTTTGCCTCTTCCCAGCTGTTTTTTGGCTGTGGGGGTGGAGGAGTGGGTATCGAATCCCCATGGGGATTAGCTCTAAAACTTGTTAGAAGAAAAAATGTGGCGGGTTTTTTTCAGGGCCAATAGGGAACTGATTTGTCTATGGTTCATGTCATAACCACCCTGGAGGGTGTGGGAAGGGGTTTCAGATAGTAAAATGCTAAAACCATTGCCACCACTTAGCCGTGTGACCCTTGGCAAATGCTTTATGTTCTCTGAGCCTCTACTTCCTTGCCTGTCCACTAGTCAGACCCCTACTGGAAGCGTTAAACAAAATAATGTTTGTGCACTGCCTGGCACTGTGCCTGGCTTGTGGGGAGATGGTCAACAGCAGTGCCCAGAGGTTTAGCAGGTTTCAGAGGGATGGATGGAGTGACCTGGAGAGGTGACCGTTCCCCCAGATGCCTAAGATGGGATTTACCATCATCTGGGCAGGACAGAGATTCGGAGTTGGATAAGAGCAAAAACACTGTACAAGGTAACTTTTACCGAGTTTCTCCTGTCAAATGCCAATGCTTTTTTATTATTTTTTAAAAATTTTTTGTCTTTTTTTTTTTTTTTTTTTTAGGTAGGTTCCATGCCCAACATGCGGCTTGAACTCACACCCCTGAGATCAAGGACTGCACACTCTACCAACTCAGCCAGCCAGGTGCCCCATGCTAATGCCTTTTTTAAAAAAAAGTGTACAGCTTGATGGATATAGATATCTATCCCCTTGTGTAACCATTACCGAGGATAACACAGAGAACATTTACTGTGCCTCATAAGGTTCTTTTGTGCTCCTTCCTAATCAATAGCCATCACCTTCCACTAGCAACATGGTTAATGTTATTAGTTTTTAGAATTTCATATGTATGCATTTAAATGGATCAAAGGTCATTTAAAGGCATGGCTATTTCTTGTTCACTGACATTTGAGGACTAAGAGTACTTCTTTGTTTTCAAGAGACTGTGACATTTCTATTTCTTTTCTGTAATCTCTATTAATTTTTCTTTGAACCCATATTGCTTGTGTAACTTTATAATATCATACTCAATAATAAAGAAAGAACTTAGAGAGGGCTGGAGATCGGGGCCCAGGGTTGTCAGATAAAATATAGGATTCCCAATGCAATTTGAATTTTAGATAAACAGTGAATAATTTGTTAGCAGATATCCTCAATATTGCATGGTTTCGAGGGGACTTCCCAGCTCTTCTAGAACCAGCCCTCTTGGGGCCCATACCCTCAAGGACCCAAGAGATGATATAGCTGTCATCTGGTTACCTGGACAGTTTGATGACCACCTTGTTCTGGAAGTGCTGATCCAAGAAGCCATCCATCAAGACTGCCCACTGCACCCCTAGGGCCAGCAAAAAGAGGTTGAAGGCCACGCTGCTCCAGCCATATCTCCGCAAAGACAAGTTGAGGAAGCCAAAGCCAAGGGCCGCCATGATGGTCACATCCTGGAAGACTGCCCAGGAGCAAATATGGAGAAGGAGCAAGAGAAGCAGACAAGATAGAAAGTTAGAAATCAGAAATCAGAATTTATAGAGCTTACAGAATTAGAATTTACATACATTCTGTAGGAATTTACGGGACGGCAGCTGGAAGGGATCATTAAAGAGTGCTTGGGCAAGTTAGTTTGCGTCTATGAGCCTGAGTCTTCTCATCTGAATAATGGGGGCAGTGCATACCAGGCAGGGTTGAGGTAAGGATACAATGAGCTAATGCCGGTGAAACACAAAGGCAGGGCCTGGCCCATAGTGAGTGTTCAGTAATTGTGGCAATTACCGTTATCATCAAACTTAACAATACGAACATGGATAAAACATCTGAAGCAGTGCTTGGCACACAGTTGACATCAAGTAAATATTATCACTGTGGCTCTTGGGGAGCAGATTTTAACCTGATCGTGTGCATGAGAAAGTAAGATTATGGAAGCCGATGACTCAGCCCAGAAAAGAGGGGCAGAAGGAGACTCAGAGGTTCTTTGGTAAGAACCAAATTACCTTTGCAGAAAGCAGTTCTCTCCCTTTGTCCCTTGCTGAGGGGGATCCAGTGGGCCGGCAGAAAGCACCAGGGCCATCTGAGGGACCCTCCCCTTTTCCAGCCTTGGACCCTGTTCAGGGGCTGCTTCGGCAGGTGAGTGCGAGAGACCTGCCTAACAGCCGGGAGAGGTCGTGCGAAAGGGAAAAGGTAGATGCTTTAATTCAATTCCAAGTTTGAAAAATGGGTAGCGGCTTGACAAACTTGGGTTTGAAATCAGGAATCTGGAACTTTCTAGATGTGTGGCTTCATCTAGTTATTTAAAGTCTCTGAACTAAAGCCTATATTTATTAAGTGTTTCCCGTGTAGCAACACTGTTGTTGTTGTTTTTTAAAGTAATCTCTACGCCCAATGCGAGGCTTGAACTCACCACCCTGAGATCAAGAGTCACGTGCTTTCCAGCCAGCGGCCCCTGCCCCACCCCCACCCTGGTTTTAATCACATCATACAGACCAGCCTGCTTCCTTCTCCCAGCCACCCTTCAAGGTCGGTGCTATTATCACCATTTCACAGATGTGAAAACTGAGCCACAGAGGAGTTAAGTAACCTGCCCAAACTCTCCCAGCCAGATTAAAACCCAGAGGATCTGCTCCGAAGCCTGTGCCTTTACCTACACTATCTGTTCTTTGTCTTCTCTCTGTTGAATGGGAAAAATAATCACACTCTTCGTCTGGGGGCCAGAATTCAATGATTACAATGCACCCAATTGCTCACTGTTTTAGCAACAAACACCAACTATTTCCCATGTACAGCTGCCTGGAGAGAGAACTTGATAGAATTTGTCCCCCCATGGGTTATTATCTCTGAGTTTGGGAGGGTTTTCCTTGTTTTTTTCTTGATGTTTAAATTTTCTACAACCAGCATGCAGACAATAAAAACAAACAAAACAAAACACACACACAGATGAAAAACCGCATACTTCAAGTTTAGACAATTCTGTTTGATCCCAGCTCTATCCTTCCCTGTTAGGTTAAACCATATTAAAATTGCCAACATTTGACCATTTTTGACCTACAAAAATGGCACTTTACATGCTTCAACCTCATAGCTGCGTGGCCCTGTAGGTAGCTTACTTTCTTCATCCGCTAAATAAGGGCAATTATGCCCCCCTCAGAGGGAGCTGAGAGCTGAAGGAGGTGATGTTTTGTTCCAGGGCTTGGCATAGCACCTGGTGCAAGGAGGATGCTCAGGAAATGGTGGCTGTCCCCCCTCCCGCCACCACCATCCACACCATCACAGTAATAAGAACCCACCTGGTCTCCACTGGCTTCCAGCCCTGGCTCTGATAATGACAAGGAAACACTCATTTCCAGAACTTTTCAAAGTCTCAGAAAGCCCCTTCAAGTCATGTTTAAATTTACCTTCACTGAGAAATGCACAGGGTCTTGTGTGTGAGACATGGGTGGAGACTGACGCTCCCCAAACCGTCTGGTCACACCAGGACCTCCTGAGGTGGTCCTGAGAACCCTCACCCCTGAGGACCTCCAAAGGTCCTGGGAACTTGGGGAGTGGGTGAGAAACAGCATTGATTCCACTTCTTGCCCCTTCTTCTGTGCCGTGGGGGAGAGGGAGGTGCAGGCAATGTTTCTGTCTCCTGCTTACATCCTCTTAAGAGTGGGGGTGACAGGACATGTTTTGTATAGGGAGTTCCTCTTGGGATTGCTCAGATTCCTTCAGGAGCCAAGCAGGAAACTCTGTGTATGAAAGGCGCAATGCATATTTGGGAGCGGTAAGGCCCGTGGCCAACTAGAGACTGCACACCCAGCCATCTTGTATTAAGTCCTGCTGTTAAAGCAAACACATCTGCCCAACAGCAGCAACGCCGTATGCGTGGGGTCCGCCACATGTGTGGGGCAACACTTTCATTTTCCTCCCATTTCACAGAAGCAGACCAGAGAGAGCCTGTGACTTCCTCAAGACCACACAGCATGCTAGGAGCAGAGCCATGCTCTGAACTCCAGGTACAGTGCTCTTGTTTGCCCCCGAGGGACCCCATGCAGGTCCCCTCCCCTCTTGGGGCTTCAATTTCTCTCTTTGTAAACATGGGAGTGCCTTGGTACTCTCCATGGCCTTCACAGCTCTGGCATATTCTGAGGAGAGAATCAATGGGTGGGGGGAAGAGGGTAACCAGGATAGGGCAGAGGTGGGGCCCTAAAGATTAGAGAGTCCGAGGACCTGGGCTGGGGGATTTATCAGGCACAGCTGCCATCCCTGTCGCTGCTGCCGGGCGTAGGAGCTCAGGGCCTTCCTCCCCAAGGCCCCACACTGTCCCTGAGGGAGGAGCTGTACTCCACCTGCGGGACGAAGTCAGGGGCAGTTTCTGGGAGCTATTGACAGACAGAGCCCATTCACCCCAAATGGGTGAGTCAATAACATGAGATTTCAGGCCTCTCTTTACTCTCTGTACCCTTCCACTCCCTCACTCAGCCTCCCAGAGCTCTAGCACCGCCCCCCCCCCGACTCCTCCTCAGTCTCAGCACGGGAGCCCCACTTCAGGGCTGGGTCCCAGCTCAGGGCATCCCCAGTGGTGCAAGCCTCCCCTCTCAGATTCTGCGCTGCACCCCAGATCAGCTGCTGGGCTGATAGGCACATGGACTCTAAGGTGTTGGCTGGTGATAAGGTGTGGAAGTGCTACGGGGCCCCAAAGAGCGGGTCCCAGAGGGGAATACTACGGTTGAAGACAGTCGTTCAGGAGAATGTTATGGAAGCCCCATGACTTGCAGGAAGAGTCTAAGCTGAGGGCCTGGTGGTGTGAGAGGAGGCGATGATGACCAGCATTGTAGGAGCAGGCACGAGTATGGTGCCCTCCACACACCAGGCACCATTCTAGAAGCCTTCTGGCTTTCACCTACTACAGCTTCATGCAGTAGGTACTATTTATTACCCACCTCTTACAGGGAGGAAAGGGAGGCCCAGAGAGGCGCTGTAACTAGCCCAGGTCACACAGCTAGCACATGGTGAGCGATCGGAATGCAGACCATCTGGGTTTAACCACGATGCGTCATGCCTCCCCACATAGCACACGGGTATAACAGTGAAGACTCCAAGTCAGGTTGTCAGGGCTCAGAGCCTGCCTCTACCTCTGTGTCCCAGCTTCCTAATCTGTAAAATGGGTATGAAACAATGGCATCTGCTCAGAGGATTGCTGTGAATACTTTCACTGGCTCATGCATATCACTTAGTCTGGCACTGGATACGCAGAGTTAGTCACTATTATACTGTGCCTGCCACTTGTTGGTTATATGACTTTGGGCAAGACTGCTCCCCCCTCCTCTGGCCTAGCTGCCCCTGTGGTTCTAGTTCTGTGTTTCCACCCACCTCTGCTCCTTCCTCTGGCCTGTAGACACTTAAGCACCAACAACTCGGAAGCCAGAACCAGCTTCTGGCCCTTAGGGTCTAGGCTCAACTTCCACACTCTTCTATCCACAGCTGACTGGGAAGACCTCTGCTGCCCCAAACTGGGACCATCCATAGAGCCCTAGGCTGACTTCTGTTTCCCAGTGGCCTCTACTCCCACTCTACCTTCACCCCTACAGTATCCTGGAATAGGAAAAAAGATGTCCCAGTCAAGGGGGCAGCCAAGGCTAAGATGTGGAACATTGTAGGATTTGGGGGTACTGTGTTTACGTGTCAGTGGAAAAGCCCCTCTTGTCTTTTGGTAGCTCTCCTCCCTTTGGGGAGCAGAGGGAAGGGGGACCTGGGTAGTATCCACAGTGCAAGGTCCAGTATGTTTCCCCAATGTGGCAGTCCAAGAGCAGGCTCTGTGTGTAGATGGTTATAGTAATGGCTCCCAGTGAATCATGCCTTCCAGTATAGACCTCTCCCTCCTAGGTTGGGCCTTGTGATTTGCTTGGGTCAATGCAACATTAGTCAACATGTGACAGAGTTTTGAAAAGCACCCACTCATGAGGGCTTATCCTCTTTTACTGCTATAACTCTTCTGCTGAAGCATTTAATCACGATCATGAGCAAACTAAATGGTTGCTTTTTTCAACCATTAAGTTTGGGTGTGATTTGTTACGCAGCAATAGCTAGCTGCTGCACTCTACTTCTCCTAAGCATCTCGTAAGTCACCTCAACCCGAAGCCCAGAATGAATATATCATTGTTCATTTACTGTCCAACCTGTTCATCCACTTCTGCTTCTGTTCTCAGGAACTAGCTCTTCCATATACCAAAGCACATGTCTGAAGCCATCCTTAAACCCCTTCTTCACATCCATCAGGTACAACTCTTTTGATCTCCTAGATGTCTCTTGAATATTTTGATACCTTGCCTTTTCGGTATCCCTCCTCATTTGGCCTCATCACTGGCTGTGCAGACCAGTGGTCATCAGCGTAGGGAGCACACACCTCAGAAGGTGCTCCAGACAATCCCCAGGGGCTCCTGGAAGAAGATACGAGTCCTTCCAGTTTTTATAAAACTATAAGAAATTGAAGTCTATTCATAGTGAGAATGAATACTCTTAATCTGTCCTTATGTGTGCTCATTCATTCAAACCTTCCAACAATAAATTGAAAAAGTACTGTTGTCGCGTGACCCAGGTTGAAATAGAGGCCAAGGGAGATGGAATAATTTGCCCAAGGTCTCGCAGCTAAGGGGCAGAGGCAGAAGTTAAATCAGTCTGGCTCCCACGTTTCTCAAACTCTTGTGTGGGTAAGAATTGCTTAGAGGGCTTGGTAAAACACGGTGTGCTGGGGCCCACCCTGAACATTTCTGATCAGGAGATATGGATCAGGGCCCAGGAATCTGCATTTCTAACACATTCTTGAGCTGTTAGTGACTGAGGGGGGTAGTCTGGGGACCACACTCTGGGAATCACTGATCTGGGCTATCCTACCTCCAGAGGGCCTTGATGAAGTTTGCAGCTCTGTAAGTATTTAAGACCCACACTGACCCAGGAGCCTTCCCTGCTCGCTTAGGATGTCAGACAGTTTCTAGTCTCCTAGCTTTGGAAGGGGTCCCGAGGGAATGTTGGGCCCCCAGGGAAGAGGGTGATGTGTTTCTCTATATTCATCAGGTTGCAATGAATGGCAGGGTTTTGTTTGGCTTTTTGTTTTAAATTTGATTTTTTATTATGGAAAACATTAAGCATATTCAAAAACAGAGTTGCATGGTGAATGTCATGTACCCATTCCCAGCTTTGATGACTGTCACACAGGGCCGATCTGGTTTTTATTATCTTTTCCACTTCTTTCCTTTTTTTTTTTTTTCTTTCTGGCATAAAGCAAGCCCGGGCCATTGCTTCATTTCAATACACCTCTCTAAGCAGATAGGGTCTTTAAAAAAAGCCCCACCATGCTATTATCAGACTTAACAAAACTAACAACAATTCCTGTATACCATACGGGATGCATGCTGATTGCCTCAAAAATGTCTTTTTGGAATTGGCTGCTTTGAATAACATTGAGTTCACATTGACTGGATTAGATCAAGTGAATTGACACATTAGGCAACCTAGTTTTAGCTCAACTAACCTTCACATAATGGACTAACAACACCTGCCTAAAACCACAGAATGAAGACAAAACCATAATGGCAGCCAAGTGTATGAAAAAAAGGGCAGAGCGATGTTTCTTGTGCAAACCCTTCATCCGTCACATTCAAGGTTAAAAAAAGTCAGTCTAATTAGATCTGACAAGAAGTCAAAAAGGAGAATTTGCAGTTATCAAGAAGACTCTAGGAATGGATTTACAGCCACTCTCAGTAACGGGAACAACGGACCTTGCCTTGAGATTGACTGGTGCCATCAATCATCAGTAATTTGAAAACATTGTATATTTCATTCAACCTCTTCCAAATTTTCTAATTTGTGTGTATTCTTACGATGTACAAAACATATTCATGCAGCAGTCTTGGGTGATGACATGTAAGTATGGTACATGCTTGAAAGATGGTGTGCATCATCAGAAGTATTTGAAGCCCTCTGGTCCATACTACACACAAGCCACATGCTGGTCTCCCACCTCAAGTCATGGCCCTTTCCCTTACCACCCCCCATTAGCCCTGGAATGGCTTTCTCCATAACCTGAACCCAAACTCACCACACCCCTGCTTCCTATCAGCTCAGCAGCAAGATGGTCAAGCTCCTTACTCAACCCAGTGGGTCCACGATGCCCTACTGCCTTTTTTGGGCTCCAATGTTGCAGTGTTAAGCCCTAACCTAGTCCGCTCCAAGGAGTGCACACACCAACTCTTGCTGTCCTCTCACTCTGGATGATGATCCATTTTCACATGGTTAACTCCTACCAAGCCTCCAAGACATGGCTGGTCAGTTACTTCCTTCTAGAAGCCTTCCCTGACACCATCAACTCCTCTGCCTGGGTTGTGAGCTCTTCTCTGTGCTTCCATGTAAAGTGAGTGTCCGAAGACACTTTCTTTCTTTCTTTCTTTCTTTCTTTCTTTCTTTCTTTCTTTCTTTCTTTCTTTCTTTCTTTTAAGATTTTAAATTTTTATTTATTTGAGAGAGACAGAGGGACAGACAGAGCACAAGTAGAAGAGAGACAGAGGGAGAGGGAGAAGCAGACTCCCCGCTGAGCAGGGAGCCCAAAGCGGGGCTCGATACCAGGACCTGAAGATCATGACCTGAGCCGTAGGCAGATGCTCAACCATCTGAGGCACCCAGGTGCCCTGAGGACACTTTATTTCTGTGTTAGCGGCAGAGCAGAGGGGATGAAGAACGTGCACCCTGGTGCCAACATACAGAGTTGAAATACTGGCTCCTACTCCCACTGGTTATGTGAAAAGTGACTCAAGCTCACTGGAAAATGGGGCAGTGAAGCATAATGGTTAAAGGCATGGAAACTAAAACCAGGCTGTGCAAATTTCAATTTGCTGTGCTGTCCTAGTTGAGTGACTTTGTGCAAATTATTCAACGTCCATGTTCCTCATTTCCTTATATGAAAAACAGAGATCATAATCGTACTGCCTCATGGGATTGTTGTCAGGGTTCAATCTAAAGCATTGAAACTGTGCCTGGTACATAGTAAGAGTTCAATAAATATTAACTGATTAGCCCATGTCTAGATCCCCCACTGGTTGTAATACAGGGTTGAATGAATACATGCGTGAATGAATGGCATGCATTGAATTACATTGTGTTGGACTGGAAAGAATGAAAGTGAAGTGAAATGAACTTCAATTTGCCTCAGCCTTGTTGGTCAGGCGCTAAGGGCCCCTCTCTGGGTCGGCTACTGAGCTGGTGCAGAGGCTTCTCTCCCCAGGTCACCTCTTTGTCCTGCTTACTGCTGCAGAGAGCCCAGCGAGGCTTTTCCTCTGCTTCCAGCTAACTAGCCAGTTAATGTCACTCAGGAAGAAGTGGGCACTCAACCAGACTAGGGCTTCAGCTTTGTCTCAGGGAGGACACTCAACAAGGCCCATCCATTATCATAGATAAGAGATTGGCTCAGTGAGATGCTTGAAACGCATCTCGGTTTTTTTTTTTTTTTAAAGCAAAAGCCACACCACTGGGAATATATGTCTTGTTTACCGTTGTTCTCATCACAGTCTGTGAAGATTTTTAGCTGCATATAAAATCACAACCATCCTACACTCCTCTTCAGCCATACCTTATGGCCCTGGATTTGCAGACAGAATGTAGACTTCCCAGCCAATGAGTGAGAAGGAGAAGCCTGGGGATGGGGAAGGGGCAACAGAGTCATGCTACCAAAAGGAGGGTGGTACAGAAATGAGCAAGAGACACCAAAAAAAAGGAAACAAAAACTAAAAGCCGAACAATGTGAAATTTTTTGCTGCTCGGGAGAAAGGGGAGGAAGGGACAGAAAAGCAGAGACTTACGAAGACCACTGGCAAAGGAAATTCTAGAAAAACAGAATAGGAGACCCCTCACTGCCCTGACAAATCAAGGAAGGCTTCATGGAAGAGAAGATGTCCACGCTGGTCCTTAAAGGGGGAGCCTAAGTTGTTGGCTGGTCTCCGCGCAACCTATAGGAGAAGGTGTGGGAACCCATTTATTCGGAGACTTTGTGGAGAGGAACATGTAGGCCCCTGGAGGACCACGGATCTTCTCACTTCCCCTGTTCCTGCTATTTGCCTCTGTGACCACCTCCCCTCTGGACACTCACCTCGAAAAGTCCTCATGAGCTGCTTCGGCGGATCCTGTGACAAAGTGTCATAGGAGGTGAAAAAGAAGAAGATGACAACGAGAGCCGCCTCGAGCATTAGGGTCCATGGGGGCAGGCAGCGCCGCATAGACGGTGGGTACTTAGAGCCCATCCTGTGTCCGTGTCCGTGTGGCACCTGCACCCGCTCCAGGCATCACCCCTCTGCCCCCACCCCCACTCCAGGGAGCGATACCGGAGATACCCGCCAAAAACCTTATCTCCGGCCGCAAGGCTGGCTTTGTTGGCCTGTTGAGGGAGTTAAGACAGAAGCAGAGGGACTATGACGGGCAGGGGAAGAAATGCATTTATTCCAACGCGACCCCATTCATCGAATCACTCACTTATTTGTTCATTCAACAAGCAGTTGCTACATTCCTACTCTAGGGCAGGCACTGTGTGCGGTTTCCAAGAGGGCGTCCATTTACTGGGCACCCACACAAGAGAACCCTCCTTTGCTTGTGACTTCAGTTTAACCTCCCCATCTCCTTACAAGGTGGAGAGTGGATCAGCACTCCTAATTTACAAATGGGGAAACGAAACCTCAGGGGGAGCTTTGGATTGAACAAAATTTCTCTTTTAAAACCTTATCCAGTGAGCTCTTAGTAAGAATGTATCGAATGAGAATGAATGAAGTGAAAGCAAAGAAAAACACTAAGCCCTGAGGAAGATCCAGACAGAACCTCTGGGGAGCTAACTCTGCAGAGTTACATGGTTGGAATTATTTATACTTGGATCTGTATTTAAATCTACTTGTTTGTAAATCTTTTAAGGGTAGGTGGGGGAGAAGAAAGGAGGCTTGGGTCCAGCTCTAGTAAAAACCTGCCCAAGCCCTAGGCTGTAGTTGTCTCCAACTCTGGTCACCTCTTCACAAAGCAGCCCAGGACTCTGCCTGGGGCATATGTACTTACAGTATCTGAGGCGGGTCACCAGCTTCAGGACCCCTGTCCCAAAGCAGGGGGCAGGCAGTCCCCTGAAATGCGCTTTAGGGTGCCTGGGATCCAGTTCTGACCCTGCAGCTAACTTTTGTAGCCCCCATCCATGTGCCTAGCAGATGGTCTGATCTATAATAAGCATAAAGAAAGAAAGGGAGGGAGGGAGAAAGGAAGGGAAGGATTGAAATTTTCTTACCTTCTACACTGGCCTCAGCTTCTGGCCTTTGAGTGTAGACTGAATTTATGGAGCCTCAAGTAATAAAACCAGACTAGGAATTGCAGGGAGGCAGATTTTGGCCCACCATGGGTGGATTCTTTATTGACCATTACGGCTGTCCGGAGAAACAGGCTATTCCTGCGGTAGTGAGCACCCTGTCCCTAGAGGAATGCAAACAGAAGCTGATGGTTACATGTCAGCGAAGTCTTGGAAGTGATTCATATGCAGTGTGCAAGAGATTTTAATCACCCAGAAGAATCTTGTCATTCTGTTTTTAGATGAAGAAACTCACACCAGAAGGTCATACCCAAGGTAATACAGTCAGCTGACATCACTCTTTTCTTGCTTAGTGCAGCTTTATTTGCAGAAGGAAAAAAAATTGAAAGTAACCTAAATGTCCAGTAGTAGGGGACTGGCAAATAAGCTACAGGACACACATCATGGTCCTGAACATACGTGGAAAATCCAGAGGAAAATGCTTTTCACGTTCATCAAAAGTGACACAGAGAATATACTATTGGGTGGAAAAGCGAGTTATGGTACAGTGTGTACAATATGTTCCCACTTTTGTAAAAAATAACAATATTAAACCATATGTTAGTGCATGCATGGGGGAAAAATGGCTGCAAACCACCCACACCAGTTCCTTTTGCTCTAGATGTTTCCTGGAGCTAACACTCACCAAGTACTTACCCTTGGTAGGTACTGTTCTGGGCACATGTATGAACCCAGTTAAACCCTGGGAGGGGGGTCCTATTAGCCTTATACTATAAAGGTCCAGAAGGGTCATGTGACTTGTTCAAGGTGACAGGACTAGTAAGTAGGAGAACTGGGATTTAACCCAGACCCAAAGCCCAGATTGAGCAACTGGACGTTTAGCCATGTAACTGTGGCCCAGACGACTTCTAAGTCCTCTTCAAAATCTAGGAACATGGGATTCCCAGTCCTCTGCCCCCCTCAACAGTAGCAATAGACAGAAGGTAGCCTGACCCCTAGAGATTAGAGATAGAAGTTTCCATTCCCTCATGGTCACCCCATGATTCTGATTTCTGGCCCTCAGCACTTCCTGTGAACTGGGTTTCCATAAGGAGGGGGCTCCCCTGTGTGGGGGATAAACAAACATGACCTTAGTTGGTGGGTCCTGTACCAGCACCTTGTAAACCAGGCAGCTGGACTCACCTGCCCAGGGACACCAAAGGTCAGCCAGATGAACATGAAGATTTTCAGTCACTGCTGGCCCCTGTGCCTGGAGCCCCCCTGATGGTTGTGTTTATTCTCTGGCCAGCAGAGTGTGGGTGGCAGCTGGTTCCACACCCCTGGAAACCCCTATGCAGACTGCTCCTGCCCCAGTCAGGGACTGATGGCTTGACAAGAGGGCCAAGCTCCTTGCCAAACAGGCTTTCTTTAATAAAGGGAGGTGTCCCCCTCAGTTGGCCTCTCCCAACAGATTTGTCCAAAGGGGAATGTTCTCTCTTCCCCTCCGACTCTTGCAAAAGGTCCCTGTTTTCAGACTCCGGCTCCAGACATTCTGTCTCCAAATCCTCATGGCAGCTCACCGGGTACAAGAAAGCACAGGGGATGGAGGGCAGATATGTCGCAAAACAAATATAGTTAAATGTTCATTGTCAAATCTAGGTGGGAGGTAAATGGCTTTTCACTGTATCATTCTTCCAACTTCTTTGGCTTCTGTTAGAAACTTTTCATAACAAAATATTGGGGAAAGCGCTTTGTGCACCTGCTGCTCCCTCTGCCCGAAAGCCTCCTCCTGTCAGACGACCACCCCCGCACTCTCCATCTCCCAGCCAAGCACTGAAAGAACAGGGATTTTTTTTTAAAGATTTTATTTATTTATTTGACAGAGAGAGATCACAAGTAGATAGAGAGGCAAGCAGAGAGAGAGAGAGGGCAGCAGGCTCCCTGCTGAGCAGAGAGCCCGATGCAGGACTCGATCCTGGGACCCTGAGATCATGACCTGAGCCGAAGGCAGCGGCTTAACCCACTGAGCCACCCAGCAGCCCCAGAACAGGGATTTTTATTGTTGTATCTCAATACCTAGTGCTCTGTCCTAATAGGTGATCAATAAATATTTGGTTTTTCAAAAAGATTTTCTTTATTTATTTGAGAGAGAGAGAGAGAGAGAAAGCACACAGAGGGAGAGGGAGAAGCAGATGCCCCGCTTGAGCCAGAGCCTGAGGCGGGGCTCGAACCCAGGACCCATGAGATCATGACCTGAGCCTAAGGCAGATGCTTAACCAATGGAGCCACCCAGACTCCCCTAAATATTTGTTGAATAAATAACAACTGCCATTTTTGGAATGCCAAGCACTGGACCAAGCATTTTGCATACATTATTCCATCTACTTTTCCCCTCAAGCCTGTGAGAACAGGCACAGTCATCCCGTCTTACAGATGGGGAAGCTGCTGCTCAGAGAGGTGATGTGAGTGCTCAACGTCACACAGCTCATAAATGCTAGGGGTGGGACCCAACCCACCTCCATCTACACCAACCGCTTATGCTGTCAACTACTTTGCAATTCTGCCTTTCATTTAGTAAACCACTCACAGTCTCAATTTCCTTATGAGTCAAATAAGGTGACCTGCTCTACTTTCCTCACAGAGTTCTCACAAACCTGGGAAGAGTAAGCCTGAGTGGTGGCTGGGTTATAGAAAGGAAGGTGGGCAAGTGGTACCATGCCTGTGGCATTCTGATCTAAGAGACCAGTTTCCTCCAGGTATGACGAATCAAGTCTGAGAGACTGCGGAATTCACATGTAATCATGCATTTTCTGTAAAAACAGGACTCCATCAGCATACTCACCGTGTCATCCTCATCTGAGTCAAACATTGTAAAGCTCGGTTATGGGCAGTGAGCAAGCACGTAGGGAGGTCCTCCATTCCCTCTACCAAGGGTGTGTGATCCTGCTCTGGGCCTGCCTGGTTAAAGTGTGGCTCAATCATTCATTCACTCAATATGAGCTTCGGAGTCAGGCAATTTGCATTTAAATCCTGACTCCACAAATTATTAGCTGTGTGAACTTGGGCGGGATGATCAATATCTCTGTTTCCTCATTTTTTTTAAAGGTTTTATTTATTTATTTGACAGAGATCACAAGTAGGCAGAGAGGCAAGCAGAGAGAGGAGGAAGCAGGCTCCCTGCTGAGCAGAGAGCCCGATGCGGGCCTCAATCCCAAGACCCTGAGATCATGACCTGAGCCAAAGGCAGAGGCTTAACCCACTGAGCCACCCAGGTGCCCTGTTTCCTCATCTTTAAAGTAGAGAAAATCAGTGTCAATCTCATAGGGTGGTTGTGAAGATTTTTTTTTAAAGGTTTGTTTATTCGAGAGAGAGTGCGCGCATGCGACGGGGGGGAGGGGCAGACAGGGAGAATCTTCAAGTAGACTCCTCACAGGTGTGGAGCTTAATGTGGGGCTTGATCCCATGACCCAGAAGATCATGATCTGAGTTGAAACCAAGAGCCGGACGCCTAACCGGCTGAGCCACCCAGGGAACCCCAGTCATGAAGAGTATGTGAGGAAGAGCGTGTTCGTGTCAGATGTGTAGAAAATCTTCCATAAATGTTCGTAATTATTATAATTGCACAGGGTTGGCATATTTACTGTAGAAAACTCTGAAAATGCAGACATGCAAAAAGTTTACATAAAGCACCCATGATTTCAACATCTCCAAAAACCAGTTCTACTTCTTTTTGTATATTTTTCAGATTTTTTTTTCTATTCATGTGAATTTATGCCTTGTTTTCTCCCCTACAAAAATGGGATTATACAGCACATACTGTTGGGTAATTGCTTTTTCCATGAACAGTATATCATAAATCATTTCCAAGCCAGGACAATCTTTCTACTACACTCTATCAAGGTGGTTAAGAACCCAGGCTCTGATGCCAGAATTTCTGAGTTTGAATCTGGGTTCTGTCACTTATTGTGTGACCTTAGGCAAAGAACTGAATTGCTCTGTGCCAGTTTTCTCCTCTGTAATATGGCATCAGTAATCATCCCTACCTCGTGGTGTTGTTGTGAGGATGAGATCAAAGTGGATATGGTGCTTAGAGCAGTGACTGTATGTGGTTAAGTGCTGTGCGTCACCATTCTCCATGCCACAGGACTTCTGTGGTAAGAATATGTGACCCTGTTTGACTAGCCCCCTTTGTAGGATTATCTGGGTTATTTCTAAACTGTTCCTGTTCTAAACACTACAATGAATATCCTCCATTAACAGGGTTCTCTAGGGGACACAGATACATGTATGAGAGGTGGCCATCCCAATGTCTGGACTTTTCTGTGACTCCTGAGGCATGGGAACCAAATTCAAGGCAGCTGGCCCAGCCCTGCCTGGTGGGCTTGAGGGGGGGAATGTAGTTTTCTTTTCTTTTCTTTTTAAAGATTTTATTAAGGAGCAGGCTCCCTGCTGAGCAGAGAGCCCGTTGCGGGGCTCGATCCCAGGATGCTGGGATCACGACCTGAGCCGAAGGCAGAGGCTTTAACCCACTGAGCCACCCAGGTGCCCCGGAATGTAGTTTTCTTATTTGTGAAACAGGGTGTGATGATCACTCTCCAGGCTATTCTGAGCCATTCTGAGCTCAGGTGAAGCTCAAGTGCAAATCTCAATCCCTTGCTCATCAAATGTCCCAGGAGAAGAGGAGGGACAGCCCTGAATTCTTTTTTTTTTTTTTAAGATTTTATTTATTTATTTGACAGAGAGAGAGATCATAAGTAGGCAGAGAGGCAGGCAGAGAGAGAGAAACAGTCTCCCTGCTGAGCAGAGAGCCCGATGCGGCACTCGATCCCAGGACCCTGAGATCATGACCTGAGCTGAAGGCAGTGGCTTAACCCACTGAGCCACCCAGGCACCCCAGCCCTGAATTCTTGACTGGGTCTTGGTCTTTTGAGTGAGAACAAATGATTTCCCTTCCCTGTCTTACTCATCTGTAAAATGGCCACTGATCTCCCCTGGTTCCTGACTGGTAGTGGAGGTATGGGGAGTTGGGGGTGCTCTGTGGCAGGCGGGAGGTCTGCCTCATTTCTGCCCAGGTCTGTGCCCTTAGGATCCCAAAGAGCTATTTGAGGGCTCAGAGGGGAAAGGCTGGCACTTGATTGGAGCCAAAGGGGGTGTGGGCTAGGGTGGGCCAGAAAAAGAGATGGTCTGGCTGGGGCAGAAGGAGTGAAAGAACGAAATGGAGAAGGGCAGTTGTCCTGTGGGCTCTTGGCAAGAGGACTGTTCTCATCATCCCACTCAAGCCAATCACCCGACTAACACCAGATACAACCTATAGCATCACAGCTTGATCTCACTCAGCTGTTCCTTGAGCTAAACTGCTCTGCCAAGCCAACTGCATAATTTTATTTTCTCTGAGCCTCAGTTTTCTCATCTGTAAAATGGAGCTAATATGACCTGCTTCTAAACATAGGGCTTGAAGGGTCTCCAGAGGGGATCTTGGCACAGCTGTACGCAGGTAACTCAACACCAGGGAGTTAAGACTGGAACCCAGAACTCCAGATTTTCTCTGTTCTCTCTTTCTCCCATGTAGCCCTATGCTTGAGAGTAACTCCCAGTAACTCCATGCTTCTCCCATGGCATGGAATGTCTTTATCAGGATGGTAGGCTAGACAGTGAGCTTCAGCGCCTCTGTCATCTTTTCCAGGATTACTCACCTCTTCATTTCAGAGTGTGTCATGGCACTGTCCTAGATAACAGGGACATAAGGGGGAGTGGAAAAGACCATGGATATGGCCCTGTTATAACCTTACTGAGTTGGCTGTTTGTCTCTGGCCTGGGTAATCTGGAACTTTGAGGTTCTGGAGCTGATGGCTATTCAGATCTAGGGTCCCATGGAGTCTGGAGCCAGGATCTTACCATGAAAACTTCCTAATGCATTCAAGCCACCAGCATATTGATTTTTAGGTCCTGTCTGTATCCTCCTCCATGAACAAATTCACCTTGGCAGCTGAAGCCTTTCCCTGCTGCTCCAAGCAGAGTGTTCCATTCAGACCCTTACACAATGATGGGCAGCCTTGGTGGAAGTTTGAGCTCACAGAGTTTGTTATCCTTGGCCACGCAGGGCCACTTTATCAACATGCTGGAGAGAAGTGAGGGATGAAAAACAAGTATACTATTAATAGTAATAGTTTGCTGTTACCTACTGCATGCCCAAGTGGAAACAGAGGTTCTAAAATTCTGTAACGTGCCCAAGCTAGTAAGTGGCTAAGCTGGTCTGAAAAGGCAGGTACTCTTGTGATTTTTCAAAATTGCATCTCTTCGGAATATGGATCCAATCTCCCAAGAAGCTTTTGTCCTTGGTGGATGAACAAGCCTACCCAGGAAACTGACTTAGGAGCAGCACTGGGGAGATGCTCTGTGTGGGAGCAAAGGCAGGAAGAAGGGAAGATAAGGCTGCAATGGGTTTGAGGACAGTGAGTAGATAAGGCTTGCTGGCCTGGGTAGGCCTGGAAAAGGAGACTGGGTCTCCCTTGCGACAGCTCTGGATGCCATAACAAAGAGAATGGTTTTCAGGTTTGGAGGATCTTTAGAGATTTGTGAGCAGGGTAAAACAAAGAAGAACAGCAGATGAGAATGATGAATTTGATACAAATTACAAGTTCCTCCTTGGGGGTAATTATAGGGTAGGAAGAGGTCCACACACCTCAGGACAAAACCAGATACCATCTACTTCCTGGAAGTTTTTAAAATGTGCTGGAAGACCACCTCACAGTCCCACTGCTGGTGTGTGGTTAAGTTGGTACAGCCACTTGATGGGAGATTCAGCAGCCATCAGAAATATTTAGGGAGAATGCATAGTAACATGGGCCTATGTTTACATTAAGGTACAGAATACAAAAAGACGGACCTTAAAGGCCCTCAGTGGCAACCCTGTTGGGACCCCTCGCACTTTTGAGAGCTTTTTCTGTATGTTCACTTAATAAACTTCTTTTGTTCTACACACACACACACACACATACACACAGAACAGAACACAAAGTTGAATATCTAGTATGATCACTACTCTGTTCAGTAATAATAGCAGCAATAGGAATAAGAATATCACCTATGGGGGCAAATAGGAAAAAAAGAAAAAATTTAGAATGCTGATAGTGGTCGTGATAAGGTGAAGAGATTCATGAGTGTTTCTTCTCCCTTCAGCTACTTTTTGACAGCTGCCCAGTTCTCTTTAATGACATTCTTTTTAAAAGAATCTTTGCTGTCTTTTCTAATGTGATTTTTTTCATACCTACGTTGCAAGGGAATAATGAGGAGTAAATAAGTAAGTATATGTAAAGCACTTAGCACGGTGCCTGGCACAAAATCGGAGCTCTAGGAAGGTTGGGTGAGGGGTCGCTGGCCGGTGTCCCAACATCTGAGAAGCCCGGCCCTCGCCGCGGAGCAGCCGCTCTTAGTCCCCGCGGCATGGGCCCCTCGCGCAGCACGACACGTCCCCGACGCTGACGCTCGCCGTGTCCAGCAGGCGCTATGCCAGCGGAGCCAGCCACGCAGCCCGCCCTGCGGACGTGGAGCGAGGGTCGCACCTCCCCACACACACCCGGCAGCCCAGCGCGACGTCGCGCGCACCCACGGCCCCGCCCCCTGTGACGCATACTCCAGGGGGCGGGACCGCAGCAGCCCCGCCCCGCACCTCCTCCGATTGGCCGCCGCCCTGTCACCACGTCGCGGGGAGCTGGCAGGGTGTGTGTGTGTCTATGTGTGTGTGGGGTTTGCTTTGTCATTCGTATCCCCGTCGCGCGCTGACGCGGCTGGCCTGGTCAAACGCTCCAGGATCCGCAGGAAGGGCCCCCGGCGCTGACCCCGGAGGCTCCCGGAGGGGGAGGATGCTGCGAGCCCCTTACATAATGAAGCGACTGACTGGAGCACATGTCAGCGCAGAAACAGCACATGCCGCAAACCCAGGCCTCCCTATTTCATACGGTGCTAGTGATAGCGGGCACTGAATATAGCACGGTATGCTCTAGCATGGATTATCATACAATGAAACGCAATTCAACAGTCATGAAGTGTACCTTCGCAATAAAGCATAATATAGAATGTTATATTTATAGGGCCTATTTATAAGCCTCTATTTAAATCTTTTCTGATAGGCCCAGGCACGCACACAGACACTATAATGATTGGCGCATTCTTCTGTCCTTCAAAGAGGCGGGTTCTCGAGTCCGTTTTGCCTCAGCTGGCCCTTGGATTGGCCAGCAGCGGCGTAGCGGCGCCTTCCATTGGCCCCGGGGGCCGTCCGTCGGAGCCGAGGAGGCGGGCAGGCGGCTGGCTGGTGCTGGGGCGGGCGGGCCCCGGAATTGTCATTTCTTTGTTTCCGAAGGCGGAGGAGGCTCTGAGCCCCCCCTCCCCGTCCCACCCCCTCCCCCCGGGTGCTGGCTCCATGTCTGTGTGACCGGCCCCAGGGGTAGAGTCCAGGCCCGACGCGGGGCGGGCCGGCGGCGGCGGCGGCGGCCGAGGTGAGAGACGGCAGCGGAGGCGGCGCGGGCACCCGGCCCCCCAGCGGGAGGATGAAGCGGCGGAACGCCGACTGCAGTAAGCTCCGCCGCCCCCTAAAGCGGAATCGGATCACCGAGGGCATCTACGGCAGGTGAGCGGCGGCGCCCCCGCCTCCGCCCGCGCGGGCCCCGCGGCCCCCGGTCGGCTCCGGAGGGGCCCGGCCCCGTTATGTAACCCCGACTAGGCCGCACTCCCGCGCCGGGGGCTCTCCGGAGGAGCGCAGCCCGGGGGGCTCCGGCCGGCCCGCAGGGGTGCGCTCCGGGGGCGCGGGGCGTGGCGAGGGCCGCCGGCTGGGTGGAGAGGGCGCGGCGGGCGCTGGCCGAGGAAGCAGCCGAGCCGCCGTTGGGCGCTCCCTGGCCCCGCCGGGGCGGGGGGGGAGGGGCGACGAGCCCCCTCCCCTCCCGCAACCCTGGTCCGCGCCGCGGGGCCCCGAGGGCCGTTCCGGGGAACGCCGGGCCTCCGCTGGCCCCCCAGTTCCGCTCTGGCCTGAGAGTCGCCGGCCTGAGTCGGGAGGCGCGTGGACCATATGCACTAGGAGGAAAGGCTGACAAAGTTGGGAGCAGACAGTGGCCCCACGGTCCCCAGCGGACTGGGCAGGTGGCCACGTTGCCCCTTCTTTCTACCTCTACTTCTCTTGCGGGATCTCAGGCTTGGCACCGCGGGCTAAAGCCGATACCCCCTAATCATGCCCTGTGGCCCCGCTCCAGACTCAGAAGGAGCGGATGATCATTTTCTCAGCAAACATTATTTTGACCATTCTAAGCAGATAGTTTTCATCGAACCTTTTAAAAGGGATTTTTTTCCAAACTCAAAATTTTCTTTTTCTGACGGAAAAAAAAAAAAAAAAAGACAGCATCCCTTTAAATAGAAACTGAATTCACTGCTCTGAGGGGGAGAAGGACAACAGGTCTATGGGGCAATTTAGTGACAATCACAGCTTCCTAAGCAGAACTTGTGTACGACCTGTTATTTTCTGGTTCTTCTTAGAATGTTAATTCTGAATGGGACTTGCCTTGATAAATGATTTCGGTGGAGAAATAATTAATTTACAAAGGAGAATTCTCAGCATGTGCATTTTGGCTTAATTGAGCCTTCGTGGTATTTTACAGTTTAGCTCTTAGAGCTGTACGATTTAGAGAAATATGTGAGGTAGTTGATAACACTCAAGTTGTCACTAAGCTAATGACCAAATCTTTGCATAACTGTACACCTTGCACATGCTCTTGTTTACATATATGGAAGATTGCTTTTCACAAAGCAGCTGAGTGATGTAAACATCAGGGGTTTCTTTATTTCAAGTTCAAAAGCATTAAGAAGTCAAAGTATAAAGTTCTTATGTATATTTATCCTTCTGTATAAGTATATTCTTATGTAATGAGCCATAGATCATAGGAATCATTCATTCATTCATTCATTCAACAAATGTATGTGCTATGTGCCAGGCTCTGTTCTAGCTCTGAGGGTACAGCAGTCAGTAAAACAGGCCAAAGTCCATGCTGAATCAATCAAACCTGATCATTTAAACTAAAAGTGAAAAAGCAAAAACATTTTCCTACAGATTTAATGGGGGGGGGAATGTCTCTTCAAATTGAAGACACTATGGTCCTGTAGGAAGGATTTTTTTTCTGCCCATTGAAAACAATTTGAACAACTTAATAGTGACACAAGAATAGAAAAAGCATATTAAACAGAATTGTAGACCAAGGACTTTGAATGGCTGCTAGTCACAGTAACATATGATGATATACTTTTATACAAAGAAGACTGGGGATCCCATATTGTTTACATGTGTTATATTTTGACATCTCTTTATATTTGGACAAATGATGCCCAATTTAATACCTGCTTGATAGTAACCACTCAATCAACATGAACAATGTGAATTCATTGTCTAGTGAAGATCTGTTATTTTAGTGATGAACTTTTGGAATTCAAATGTTCTTACTCTAAAGTAAATATGCTATACAAGTTATTCAGAGTTTTGCTGTAATATTTTATTTTATTTTTTAAAGATCTTATTTATTTATTTGACAGAGAGAGACTCAGCGAGAGAGGAAACACAAGCAGGGGGAATGGGAGTGGGAGAAGCAGGCTTCCTGCTGGGGAGGGAGCCTGATTTGGGGCTCAATCCCAGGACCCTGGGATCGTGACCTGAGCTGAAGGCAGACGCTTAAGAACTGAGCCACCCATGCGCCCCTTGCTGTAAAATATTAAAACCCAACAGCTCTCAAATCTGTTTACCCTTCTCTGTTTGGCATTCTTTAAGTTAGATGTTAATCAAAGACCTACATATATTTCTAGCTGTCTTTCCTTTTGGAGCATCATATATCAAATGAATGTTTTAATTCACATACCTGTTTCTTAGTTTATAATATGGAGTATTGGACTAAAGAATAAGATCATAGTTTTGTTTTTTTCAAATTCTGTTTTGAAAAAATGTTTAGAAATTTTTCCTTTATTTCTAAAGCAAACAGAATGAGTGGGCTAGTTATAAATTATGGTGTTTGAGGATTTGTGAATATTGAATTTCTGTGATCATTGAATTTAACTCTGTATTAAATCGTTCTTCATACCATCTATTGCCCATTTTGTTTTTCAACATCTGGCCAATTTTGGTCCCATTAAACAGAGAGCTTGGCTTTTTTTCTGAGACCCTGTTGACAGTTTTGATAACCACTATCTACTGTTTCACAGCATAACGTTTCATGAATGTTATTTTCATGTTCTCAGTCTGCACAACTTTTTGAGTCTGGGCATAGCAAGGAGGCAGCTGTGGTGAAAAGAGCACTGGACCTCGGGCATCAGGAGACCTGGGTTTGGACTCAGAATCCCAGCTCTGCCACTTTAAGCCCCATTCTCTCATCTGTCAGATGAGTCTTGAGGTCTAAAGGAGCTGGTGTTCAGTTTGCGAAACTCTGTAAATTCTAGAGGGCTATACAAATATTATTTACCATGTTGTTGTTATCACAGTTTAACATGTTTGGTTTATTCTTTAAGGAGGCAAGAGAGACTATGAGATTTGCTACAGCTATAAACAGAAGTTGAGTAGTCAAAACAAAGGGTCAGTTGCTGCTTGGTCTTGCTGGAAAAAATCCTATTGCTGAGACGTTTTAAATCTTGGGCTCCAATCCAGCAACTGTGACTGAGGTGATTGTCAAATGATATGGTTATTGTCAGTATAATGACTGTGATAGAATCGTTTTTGGGGCAAGGTAGAAGGAAAACGGATTTTAGACATATCAGCATTATCTACGTTTATATGTGTGCCCATTGTTTGAAAACTGAAAGGTACAGATATCTTATTCCAGTCAAATTAATAATCAAGAATAAGAAAAGAGAAACAGGAATGGTGATGATTGTCTTTTATGTTATTAAGGACTAAAATTCAAAACACATTTAAAAATCATTCGTGCCAGCACAGATCTAGAGTGGGAATTCAGTATTCAATAAATGCTGTGTGTGTGAGTTAATAAATAAATGAATATAAATTAGTTCCTCTTACTTGGTTAAGAACCTCCATTGTTCAGGGAATTGTGAAGGATACAGGATAGGATATGATTTCTTGTCTTCAAGGAGTTTACAGTCTAGTCGATCATCATAATGCCCTCTTAAATTTACACAGTGCTTTTGAGGTTCCAGGAAACTTTGCATTCTGTTCAAGGAAAAGTATGTTTGTCGAATTACATTTTAGCTGGCTGTTTTAGTTATTCGCCTGATGCATTAACAACTTTATTTTGCCCTGTGCTATTTTACGATGAAGTAGACGGTCGCCACTAAGTGAGGGAATGTTTTCTAACTCAAATGAGATAGATGTGAAAGTACTTTGGAAATGATAAGGAACAGTTATTTAATTTCTTTTTAAGATTTTATTTATTTATTTGACAGACAGAGGTCACAAGTAGGCAGAGAGGCAGGCAGAGAGAGAGGAGGAAGCAGGCTCCCTGCTGAGCAGAGAGCCCAATTTGGGGCTTGATCCCAGGACCCTAGGATCATGTCCTGAGCTGAAGGCAGAGGTTTTAACCCACTGAGCAACCCAGGCGCCCCGATAAGGAACAGTTATTAATAAGAGAAAGTAAAATAAATAACTGCACTTAACTGTGACATTTCTGAGGTCCTCGGGTTTTATGGCAGTAATTCTCTGTCCATGTCTCTGCCTTCACACATGAACCAGACACTCCCAACAGTAACATCTAATTACAAGCAGTGATTCTCCAGGTGAGGTGGGGTTGGAGTGCTCTGTAGTTTTTTAAAAGCCTTAGGGGGATCCTCTGTGGTTTACCCATCTGTCACTTTGGAACACTGGAACAAGTGTTCCCCCACTTCCTTCCCCCTGAGAATTACTGACTTTATAATGGGAAGATGAGGAGATGAGGTGTGGTAAGTAGCAGACAGGGGCAGAGATGTTTATGTTGAAAGCCTCTGCAGTTAAAATTGTTTCTTGCCCAAGTAGGCACAGTAAGCATTTTAAGTAAGGCACATGTGTTAAGCTTCAGGAAACTATTTTATATCTTTGTTTTAGGTGGTTGAAGGAAGCGCCCCTTCACTCATGAATTTACAAATACTTCCTGTCGCCATGTGTGTGGGGGGGAGTGTTCTGCCTGCCACCTGTGGCTTAGGGGGTGTGGGGCTGGCCCTGACTCTTAGCTTCTGACAACTTCACGCCTTCCCGCTAGAGCTGAGGACTCAGGACATCCCTGATAGATGGAATACCTTGTCCCATCTTTGTTTTAGGAGAGCGTTTCCTGGCCTTTGACTTCTGAAGTGATCAAAGTTTGCATCCCTCTCAGCTTCCTAATTTCCTTATTCAGACCCTAGTCTAGCTAATCTCACCTCCAGAGATTTCACTTGCCGGCTTTTCCTGCCTCTTTAATTAATGATGTTTCCTAAGCCTCATTTTAGCCTCCTCTGGGCTATGCTTCTTAAAGCCACTAGAGGCTGGCATGACCCTTGGCAGCCTTGATTGTACTCGTGTTCTTGCCACCGAAACCCCAGACGCCAGTGTTGCAACCTCACAGCCTAAAAGCACTTTGGTAATCTTGGGAGGCTTTGACTTCAGCCACACTGGACCCGACAGGAAAGTGCTAGATTCTG